TCCACATTACACACCAGACCCAATCACGGCAAAATTTTGTTAGGATTTTGGTCGTGCTAAATATTTATGCAATGCAACTTTTTAAGTTTGTAGATGTTGTAAAGTAGACTTGTGTAGCGCTTGGTGTGAACTATGACTCTGAGTACATGACCTTGGGAAGGCGCGTACGCTGAATTTGTTCCAGATGTCAGAAGTTTATAGCTTTACCCTCAGAGCAAGATATCACGATTCTTAAGATGGAAACTTGTCAAGGGAAAAAATAAGGCATGGTGATTGTTTATGGCTAACGAACTATCTGAGCTTTCGTGGTTACACAGAGTTTCACAATTGATATATAGCAGAAAATGAAGTATTTTTAGCCCCGATTTATCACCATTGTGCTGACCTAAATTTTGTTAATTGGTCTAAATGTAAAGGATGGTCTAACAAAGCAAATATAGTTCTATCAGACTGAATTAAGCCCTTTACATAGAGTATGAAGCGTTTTTGAGTTAATCGCGTTAACCTGTAAGGAAGCACAAACTTGGTAACTCATTCGAGAGGTCATAATGTGGAAGAAAATCAAACAAACAATTTATACCAAAGTTTAGATACACCCAAACAGTACTTTAAGCAGTATACAGTCATTGGCTTCTGTAGTACAAAATCGCTTACCAAATAGTAAAAGGGTCACCAAATAAGTTCAAATTGCGTGAGAGTTTATAAGTGTATAACCAACAAAATAAGGTCAACTGCTTATCTACAAAGCTCCGGACAACCATTCCCGGCAGTCACTCAATCAACAGCAAGCGGCTCCACTCATGACGAGTTTAATCAAACAAAAATAGTTGTTAGTAGTTCTACATCAACTAAAATTTGTGAAACAGGTGCGTTGTAAGCTCAATTATGTGTCAGCAGCTAGTAAGAGAAAGCACGAGTATGATAGGCTGTTCATTTATTAGATGGGCAGTAAACAGCATATTGATCGAAATGTACAAGGAGGTTCGACACGACAAACTCATCGAAATTTCACAGCTAATAAAAATTACTTCAAAAATATGTGAGTGATCAGAAAAATTATTTCTGATTTAGGTTCAAATTAGCCACACATACAAGAGGAAAGCAACCCATTTTTATGGAATTGGGACAGCTGCTCAAAATAGCTAAATAACACTTCTTATGTTTCGGCGTGTTTCACTTCATCAGTTACTCATTGTGACTAAAAATGAAAGCTCATAAACCAAGGGCTTTCTCCATTTTGTCAACAGCCATCCGAACTATTTGAACTAGTAAACTGTCACAAGATGTATGTTCAATATTTTCTTAAATTTGGGAGAATAATCATCTGTTTTTCTGTGTTTTGTAAGATGACGATATTTAGCACTTTCCTCCACTTAATGTGGTCTTTCAGTTTATCCGACTTTATGCTGAAAGCATCGACGGATGGAGCTCCAATCACGTGCTAAGGAAATTAATCCCATCTGTTTATGATTCACTGAGAAAGTCGATAGTCAGCTGACAAGCAATTTATTCTAGGCTTGTGGACATTTTTGGAAGACAAAAAAATGAGGGCATATAGGATGATAATTTATCACTTAGTAGTTAAAACTGTGACCAAATCAACTCTGGTTCTCCTATATACTAATGGAAATAGGTTTAGTTTAGCCAGTCGAGTATCATACAGGAGCTTTGCTATTCCGGGAATCAGCCTAGTAGTAGCTCTTTGAATCTTTCTCAAAAGCTCCATATCTTGTCGTCGTTATCATATGACAAGGCCTCAAAACTGCACCTTGCGGCACCCCGCCAAGTATGGTTTCCCAGCTAGACAAATTTCAGTTCACCCTTACTTTTGTTGACGCCCAACTAGGAAGTCCTTCATCGACAGTAGTAAATCGCCTCCATTAATGATATCACTCAGTTTATATAACAGCTGGTTGTCAGGAATTTTGTGAAAAGCTTTGTTGTATTTAGCGTAGGCCATATCTTTAAGAGAGCACTAACTTTCGCCGGCTACTAATAAGTTAGTGAGACATGACTAACTTGCTCTAAAGTCATTCTGCTTTTCAGAAAGAATTCTGTTTTTGTCGAGACACTTAAGCATTTACCCGAAAATCTCCTCGAAAATTCTGACAACCACGCTAGTTAGGTTTAAGAGTCGATGGTTCTCGGGTCTTTATATCGTGCTTATCTTGAAGATAGAACTTAATGTAGTATTCTTACAGTCTTTTGGTAGTCGACCTTGGGTTGCAGATAGATTGAAACATTTGTATGAAAGGTCTGTGACACGATTTTCTAATTCTCTTAGTAACATAGGATTCATTTTATCGTATATCATGAACTTCCTTATAACAAGCTCATTTGACAGACCAAAGGCATCGAGTTCTTTAATAGTCATAGTGTCCAGTGTGTGTAGCGAAGTTTGTATGAAATGAATTGGGAGGCATCTCTACGGTATGTAAGTAGCTAAGGTAATTTGAGAATATCCGATCTTTAAAACAATTGATTTCCGCTAGTGATGCAGTATTACTGTCACCCCATAACGCTGGAATACTTATTAGTCCTTTGAATTATGTGTGGGCATGAGCGTTAGGGGTATTCTGTGGATTCCTTAACAAGTTTTTCTTCGTAAAACCTTCCAGATCTGTGGAGGGTTGAGGTTAAAATATTTCAGGCTCCTTCATACTGGGATCTTGTATCATCATTACCCATCAACCTGAATATCTCCGGCGTTATTCTTCTCTTGCGGAGAAGATTGAAGACCTCCTTACCAAACCGCGATGGACATTTTCTCGTCTTTTGGTGCAGTCCAAGGGGTGTTGGGCTCAGTGACTTTTATGCACAAATTTCTGAATACATCCCATACCGTTTTAATCGGTAATTCTTATTCTGTTGTTTAATATATTGGGAATGCTGGATGTATATCTTGTATATTTGCATCCCAGACGTTTGGTCTGGCTTGGGCTGACACATCCTTGTTTGTGATGACTATACTTAAATCAAAGATTGGAGCTGCATGGTCAGTTTTGCATGGGGGTGGCATATAACGGAGGCTTGTCAGGTCATCCTCATAATGGGTCAATACGAGATCTAGTAAGTATGATCTGGAATCCGGATATCATCTAGTTGCTCCATTCACGTGTGATAATTATATCAACTAGTTTCTTCCAGGAAGAATTTTCTGACAACTCAGTCCTCTGATTTTTCCAGTCAACCGTAGATGAAATTAAATCTCTTAAGTTTATACATCGACCACTTGATGAGAAAGCCTTGAAGCGGTTTACGGAGACATCATTCCCCCCCACAGTTTGGACTGTGGTAGATCTGACCAATCAGTCGCTCTTGTACTTTGCAATTCAAGTGGCAACTAACTATTTCACACATCCCACTTTCATGGGATGCGTTATCAGTGACGTTAAATGGGATGGTATTTCTAATGAAAAGAGCTACTCTTCCTTTACGCTTATGGATTAATGTACAACTTTCAAAATCAAGTTCCGTAACATTTGTGGACTTCATCAACCAAGTTTCCGTGACCACGATTTCATCCGGCTTGGTAGAGTCTGTCTGTACATCTAGCCCCCAATGCTTGCTGAGCAAGCTCCGGGCATTTGTCAATGCAAACGGCTTTGTGATACATACAGAGTGGCTCGGGCCACATTCTCTTTCGAAGCCTTACTACCTGAAAAGCTACAGTTTCAAGGTCTTTCAGGGCAGCATCTAACCTTACATTTATTTCTTTCGGCTCATCATCCCTTTGTACAATTTGAGATCGGCAAGTGTTTACGGACAAAAACTCCTGACCATTTCAGTTCGTTTCCATTCTGTAGTATTACGTTCCTGTTATTAGATCTAGATACTACTTTCTGCAGCCTGGTTTAATTCTCTTTCAAGCCCACTTGGTTGTGAAGGTGCCACAGATGTTGTAATTTGATAACACTTTACCAGTAAAACCCATCATTGAATTGCACCCACCCAGTGAAATCAAAAGTCAGAAGCAAGGAGGTTGGAAGATATATTTGATAGATTATTCATATATCGAGGAGTGACTGATGTAAACTGGCTAGTGAACGCAGATGTTGAGCACGGCTTTCAGACTGATCTGATGCGGATGCACGACTGAGCGCTTTTAGCTAGGGTGGTCAGCATCCAATGTCGAACACTTACAGAACTATTAAATTTGGGGGTTTATTTATCGCGGCAGTTGCCTGGTCTGTAAACCGTTAGCAAGGCATTATCTGGTTCAGCAGCTGTTTTGTCAACTCAATGTCGTGCTTAAAACGAGTTCTGGGCTTCCACTCTTTTTGACTCTATAAAAGACTACTGATGTCACTGTTATCAGTCTTCAATTTATCAGCTGCTGTTTGATGGGCTGGCCTTCCTTTAGCAGCCTCAGGTTGTTTCTTATTCTTGATCCATATCCATTCATCAACTTTCATTGAATATCCAATCACAGTCGCGTAACATACACAGTGCTATCCTGGATGATTGTCGATGATTCGGGTAGTCAGGTTGTCGTTTCTCCTGATAGAAACAGGCCTAACACTGACATTATGCTTTCTAGGAGTTTCCTCCCCGCTACCATCTGGAGGGTGGGGAAAGAAGATCCGTGCAAACTTCGTGCTACCATCATTCGCACTCAACACACTCCATGCCACTTTCTACACGGTATCAACAGCCTGAGCGTTGGGAACTGATTTTTTTTGCACTGTCCAGTGATCATTCAGAGGTTTTTAGAAGAAAATAGACGCAAAAACACTCAAAGTTGAGAGGAACTGATGACCAGAAAAGGCGAAAAACTATAAATTGTTGGGCCGAAAGTTGCAGACAAATATAAAAAGAACCATTTGAACTACAATAAAATGGGATCAACAAGGTGAAACACCACTGTCCCTTCTCGATAGCTCGTAGAGAACAACTCTGACTACGTCGAATACAACACTTTTTTGAGTTTGCCGCCTTTGTGAGAATGCGTTAGTTTTAGAGGTCGATGGACCAATTATTTTGCAACCTTTTGACCTTCAAAAGCTCAGTCACCTCCATCATGAGTGCATGACCTTGCTACTTAATCCACCTATCTGCAGATAACCATTGCGGCGATCAACGGTTGTGGCCTACAGATTTGTTTTCATGTTACATTAATGCGAATTACACATCTGGGGTCCGGGCTTTCCTAACGGCTGCTGTCAATTTGTGTACTACTTTTAAGATAGTTACTGATTTTAATGGGGTACTGTTTTTCATTTGACCAGGTTATGGCTACATATTGTCTTTGTAATGATTCCTGGAATTATTGATCTGATTTTTCTGCGCTTCGTTATCCCCTTTGTATTGTTCATAGTTACCGTCGTGCGGTACAATGGGTTTTCTTTCACTTATTTATTGTTTCTGCTCGCTTGCCCATTGCTTGCTCGTCCGAAGTGTCCCAGATCTACAAGTAAGCTTGAAGTAGTTATCATATTTTCGTAGCTAAAGTCCAGGTTTACCTCATCTTACTCATAACGTTAAGTTGCATTTTCACTTTGTCTCACCCAACGCTGCATATAGTTCTGACTGTTGCTCCACCGTATGAAAATGCACTTCGCACATGTAAGTCATTTAATCCTACTTCCAAAGTTATTCATATAGGTGAAGAAGCATCGATTGCTGCTCAGATTGGCGTCCAAAGACTTGAGGGGATGCTTCCCTACCGTGCAATGCGACTTGTGTTACCAGATATCTTCATATTGTCAGTTGCAGTTGCTTCGTTGGTCTATTTCAGTAGGAGACGCCGAGTTCCTTCTGCACCTTTGTCGTCAACTAATGCTTTATCGGCTGTCGAAAACAGCATTGTATCTCATAATAGTGACGAATCGGAACATAACCCTAAACCTTCGTAAGTTAAATTTGCTCACCACAATATAATACACATCAAAACGTTTAGTGTTACGAAAAACAAACAGCTAGACCGAACTTACTTTAGTTTTACCAGGCTGTGGAACGAAAACCAAAAAAGACTGTGGCGTGCTTGGGCTATGGATTCGTTACGTATGCTAATAACAGTACTACTTGTGTGTTTTGCTGGAATAACCTCACCTTCGTTGCCATCTTGCGTTTATCTTTTATCTTTCCTCTCTATATGTACATATTGGGCCTGCCGAAATAAAGTCAGCTCAACGCCATTTGCTTCTTTACGCATTTTCCTCTTGGTGTACAGCGGTTTACATGTTTGTTTGTACTACCTATATCAGTTTCCTTTCTTCCAAGCATTCTGCAAGGATGGAAGTTTTTTAGCACGGTAAGATATAAACTAATTCCTTCTACATTAAATTGCACACCTCATGTAACACTTCACTACATTTAGTAATCTGTTCTATATTGACTGATTAGCTATATGATTCGAGTAACAATTATTTTAGATGTGTCAAGCTTAGATAATCACCATTGCTGTTATTGTAGTAGAAAGATGTGATTTCCCGTTTATTTGAGCTCTTTTGACTGACTCCCACCAATTGTAGTAAATCATTCTTCGCATGAAGAAATTGGTGCTTAATTAGCTGTCCGATTGCGTAAATTCATGTAAATGATCAAAGTAAATGCCGATTGAAGTATTAGTTTCAACACTAACACATGACACATCAAGTATTTGTGAGGAAATCCACAGTGACTTTGGTAGAATGGTGACTCCAGTTAAAAGTATGACCAAAAAGTTTCATCTTTGTTTACATCTTTCTGCCTACGTAGAAAAATCACTACTTACTTGTTTCCTGAGTCTGTTATTATTATTATTATTTAAACACATAAATATTGGTACAAGGAAGCACCAGATAAATATGCGCCTCACAAATCTCATTCGATTTGTGTGAGGGCTGTGATACTGCCCAGGTGCCCAGACTGAAGCAGGTGGTTTTCTTAGGGACCCACACCCGGAGCCTTTGACCTAAAAGTCTGGTCCACAAGGCAGTGGAGCATCGTGAGGAGATGCAGTCCCATGGTAGCCGTTGACCAATGACAGGTTCTTCCGCCATTCGTTCCATCAGGATACTGGAGCCAATGTGCACCATTGGTTTGGAATCAGGGTTTTCCAACTCCCCTAGGTGGACCCTCCGTGTCCACCAACCCGGTTAAAGCGCCGAACATTTGCTTTTCGTCCTCTCACTTTCGTAAACAACACCCGTGGCACGAGAAGGCAGTGAGTAGGACTTCCCTGTCAGAGGCTATATATTCGCTGGCCATATGAGAGTATTTCGAGAGGGAGAGGTGACTCTCCCCACTCTCGGCCGTACCAGGGCATTTGGGGGTCTTGCCTAATAAAACCCCACATCATAAGGTTGTATAATCCTTAGGGCTTTATCCGTGAAATCATATTAACCAACTGTTTTTAGTCCCAGATAATGAGTGTAAGACACATCGTTTGCAAGGTTTGTTGAAGTTGTGACCAGATCTGTTTACCATCCGACCTACGTCAGTGTGTGATTGTTGAATAAGACTAGCTTGGATAACACTGAATGGTTCTGTTAGGTATCAGTGTAGACGGTAGCGACTAAAGACAGTTTAACATATCATAAATCCAACTAGAAGTTTATTTGTAAGTGACATGGATTTTTAGAATGGAGTGAGGGAGTTCACATTCGAGGATAAAACAGTACGTGACTGCAAATCAGTATGCAGTACTCTTGTCTTTAGTTAGAAAATTCATTTGGTTGATTTTATAAAACACCGCTTATATTATTTTAAAATATGATCATTATCAGGGTTTGGATACTGTATGGTTTCTTGAGAGATTAGGTTGAATGGTTGTACAGTTTAAGTGGTATTGGTCCGGTGGTAGGAAATGCGTTCCTATGTGAACAGTCAAGAACTAAAATTACTCAAGATAACAACAGGTATCTTACTATAAACAGTAAAGTTTGACTGATGTATGTGGAGTAATATACTTCTAAAATCAAACTACATAAATAGCAAAATGTATCGGTTACGGGTTTACTTATACCCTAAAGTTGTCTTCGTATAACTTATCCATAATTTCTAGCTAACATTCTGCACGCATTTGAGTCTTTTTTATCACGCTAAGCCAGTAATTTATGTCGCTATCTATTCCTTCTCCATTTTTAGTTGGTTTAAATGGTTACAATCCCCAAACCATCAATTGTTTGTAGCATTATTTATTTATTCGAACATAAATATTAGTACAATGGAGCACCAAACACATGCTCCACACAATAACAGTATGGTTGTGAAAGGATAATGTAAGGTGTGCATAAAAAAACAGCGAACAGAAATTAGTATATGAGAGTGAAATAATAATAATAGTGATAATACTAATAAAAATGGAGAAACAGTTCAGTTAGGCGCAACCTAAATAACAAAAAAGAATATGCAAAGTGGGGATCAACACCTTTTTATCTGTTTTACATTTCACATCAGAACAAGGAGAAAAAGTCAGGAAAATAGAAAGCGAATGAGCGAACATAGCAATAATGACTAGTTCAATTATCACAAACCGGTTTATATGATTTATAGTTATTCCATCGCTCTTAAAACCGGAGAAACTTCAGTATTAAGGCTTAACTGTAATTTCCGTACGTTACTACATGTTTTCTGAGTAATAGTTCTTTAAGTGGTATTTACATTTCAAAATACCACTCGCTTAATGTATAATTTTATCTCTTTGATTATAGGTTACTTGGTTTATACCATATTATGCACACCTCATGTAAAAAACCCGGTGAAATTATATTCCCAAGTAGTTTTCGTGTTGTAGATTGTCTGGCTCCACCTATTACAATGCTACTGTACTATGTCTTGGTGCTAGAAACTCGACGCTGGTTAGATTCACATTTTAGCGTTTCTTCACAACCGGTAAGTCTTCGTAACTTTTTATAAGACTATTCATAATCCTTGTAAAGTATTTATCAATTATAGGTGATGAGTATATGAAGTAGCTCTACAACCATCTAGGCTTTTCATAACTGTCTATGAATTGCACATTTTTTGCATGTAACGTAACACACCTAGTTAGTTTGAATCAAATGAAGCACCATGATTACATTTCTCTTTCGTCAGTCTAAATATTGTCTAATTTTATATCAAGTGACCATGCACTCTTACTACCATACAAAACTCGACGTTATATTTGGCCAAATTACTTCTGCTGTTCTACCACTTGGTTCAAGTAAAACAGCTATTCATAATATTTAAAAAAAATAATTGTTCTAGGATGTGTGAACTGCTAGAATTTCTAGTTTATTATTAACCATTGGTTAGATACAAATGGCTATATGGCTGAAAATTTTCTTTATAACATAACTACTAATTACCATTTGTACCAGATTGTTAATATGATATTTCAACGAAATTCAAGTGCAAGTACATTTTAAACACCAATAATTTATCTCACAATTGTCCTGATACTTGAAAAATTGATAATTTAACTTTTAATTATTGCTTGTAATGAAACCGTTTCCTTGTTTGATTTCATAGCTATTTCGGAACAATATTAAGGATTCTACATTCCAAAGTGAAGTACCACCTAACTGTCCTGATGAAAATGTAAGTTAATTTCACACTGTTATATCTCAAATATGCGACATTGATATCAAATATTTTCAAGCTACACATTGAACCAAGTTTTTCCATTTTCAGGTTTTACTGATTTACGATAGTCTTATTTAATTGGATACATTTGAACTTTTTTCTACGTAGTCTTGTAAAACTCAGTAAGCAACATCACAAACCGTTATGGATCGGATTTCGTTTTTAAGATGGCAACTACATGAAATATTGAATTCACTTAGTATTGTTTGTTTGGATCTTCCCATCGATGTGTTTAAGACTGCAACTGGTCAGTCTCTAATTGGCATATGTGCATACTGTGCGTATTGCCTCGATATACCTTAATTCACAAGCATGGTAAGCAGAGATGGATAGTGGCTAGCAGTGGAATCCAGGACGCGCGTTTCGTCCTATTTGGGACTCGTCAGCTGGATGTACCTGCATCTCAGAGTTGATGTTCACTCTGGGACTCGAACCCAGTACACTCGCTTCAAACGCCATCGCGTTATCCACACTGACCAGTTGCAGTCCTAAACACATCGATGGGAAGATCCAAACAAACAATACTAAGTGAATTCAAACTTCACCCCATCGCACTAGCAAGTGGCTATCAGGACTCAGTGGCCGAGTGGATAACGCGATGGCGTTTGAAGCGAGTGTACTGGGTTCGAGTCCCAGAGTGAACATCAACTCTGAGATGCAGGTACATCCAGCTGACGAGTCCCAAATAGGACGAAACGCGCGTCCTGGATTCCACTGCTAGCCACTATCCATCTCTGCTTACATGAAATATTACTCCTTTTTTAATGTAGTGTAAGGCAAGCATTTTGATTTTTGGTTGTATTCTTACCAGATCAATTTATATATTCAGGGGGGACTTTGTAAATGTAATAAAGGTTTTTTGCTTGTAATGATTTATGCCATCCTATTTATCTAAAGCTTATGATATTTCTAAGTATTTGCTTTTTTTTCTCTATCTCTGTACCAGGTGGTTAAAGTATATTATAGAAAATGGAATTATTCACGTTTTGCAAGTATTATTTAAGGCATCCCAGTTTTCAATCACGATTAGTAATTGTTGGTATAATTATAACGGTTAGTAACTACTAAATTTTCAGTAACCCCTACCATTGTGTTACTCTGTTCATGCACTAAAAAACATAAATGGATAAATCTTTTAGGTGAATATATGAATCTTCTTTATATGTTTCTCTCAATTTAAATCCGAATAACATTGTGAATTTGGAATAAGTGGTACTACGTTTCCAGAAATTACTGGATTGTATTCATATCAGTGGCGTATACAGCCACTGCCAAGGAATCTCTACTCACTGCCTTCCCGTGGTGGGGGTGTTGTTTGCGGAAATGAGGGGACGAAAAGCGAATTTACGGCAATTTAACCGGGTTGGTGGACACGGAGGGTCCACCTGGGGTAAAACCCTGAATCCAAACGAAATGTGTACATGGGTTTCTGGATCCTGAAGGAACAAATAGCGTATGAACCTATTGTTAGTCATCAGTTACCATTAGACTGCATTTCCCAACGTTGCTCCACTGCCGTGTGGATTAGACCTCCAGGTTAAAGTCTCAGGGAGTGGCCGCCTAAGAAAACCATCTGCTTTGGTTTTGGCCCCCGGATAGTATTCCAGTCGTCACACAAGTCTAATGACGGTGTGGTGTATATATATATATGTATATATATGATATATTTGGAGAAATTATCCCTGTATTCTTCGTGATCCAGAAATCGCTTGAAGCCTTGTATTCAATCTGGTATCAAGGGTGAGACTCGCCTTATTTTTTGAAGCGATCCGATTATGGATTCAAGTATTTTGCATGCATCGATTTGAGCCACATAGCAGATGTGCTTTGGTGTATGTTATTTTATTTTATTACCGCATTGGTCATTTATCGATATAAGTATAAAACTTTGCTTTTATACTAGGTGTATGATGTGAATAATATACCAACTACTAGAGAGTCAGTATCTCGGGAAAACTTACTTAATCCTGCAGTTACTTTCTCAGATTCATGCTCATCTACCAATTTGACAACCACAGTTTCTGCTCTGCCTACTAACTGTGGGAATGAAAACATAACATCTAAAGATCAATCTTATGCAGATATTAATAACTCGGAGTTGCATCCTGACCAGAATCTCGTTCAGAAATGTAGTCCTTCAAAACAATGTACGACCATAGATCAAAAAGAAGAATCTTTATCTCTTGGTATGAGTCATATTAGAGGGGAAGTGTCAACAGATTGCACAAGCCACGTTCCAAAATCCCTTCCGCACCAGGTTACTGTACTACATCTGGAACCAGAAAATAATTCTAATGAACAATTTTTATCGCCTCCTGTAGAACCTGATTTTGATGCTTTATTTGGCCTTACTCCTCCTTTTGCCACATACATGTATGGATGGTCTGGAAATAATGTTACTACAGAACGTCCGTTTCTGCTCAGTTTGCACTATTCAGCAATCAAGAATAGTTATATTCTCACGCTTATTGCAATGATGGTAAACGTTCTTTTTATTTGTTTGTATGTCTGTTCAACAAAATGTTTGACAATCTTTGTAAATGTTTTCTATGAAGTTCTTTACGATTTTGCAAACTTGTTAGTAAATCTGCAGTCCTCTTCTACAGTTTCGTCTAATTAGGGCCCCCAAATGCCCTGGTAAGGCCGGGATTGGGGAGAGTCACCTCTCCCTCTCGAAATGTTCTCACATGGCCAGCGAATATATAGCCTCTGCCAGGAAAGTCCTACTCACTGCCTTCTCGTGGCGGGGGTGTTGCTTACGAAATTGAGAGGACGAAAAGCGAATGTTCGGCGCTTTAACTGGGTTGGTGGATGTGAAGGATCCACCTAGGGGAGTTGGAAAACCCTGATTCCAAACTAATGGTGCACATGGGCTCCAGTATCCTGAGGGAACAAATGGCGTACGAATCAATCGTTGATCATCGGCTACCATGGAACTGCATCTCCTCACGATGCTCCACTGCCTTGTGGACCAGACTTTTAGGTCAAAGGCTCCGGGTGTGGGTCCCTAAGAAAACCACCTGCTTCAGTCTGGGCACCTGGGCAGTATCACAGCCCTCACACAAATCGAATGAGATTTGTGAGGCACATATTTATCTGGTGCTTCCTTGTACCAATATTTATGTGTTTAAATAAATAAATAAATAAAAGGGTACTTAGAACAATTTATCTTGACAGTTGAAAAAGTACAGTTTCCCACTATGGAGTGCGTCGCCACAGCGAAGCGGAGACAGAAAACAAATGAAAGTAAAAAGCTATTAAAACAAAAAATACCTCATCGAAGGGATTATACAATGTTAAATGTGTGGAGGGAGCGTGTTTTGTCAGTGTAATGCTGTTATTTTGAAGGGGGTTACCCTATGTTCAGTATGTAGACAAAGACTATACTGTAGATTTGGTGCTATAACGTAATTCTTGTACTATTTGTTTGTTACCTGGTCGTCTTAAACATGCAAAACTTTGGCGTAAAATACTTTGCTTTGTGATGTGAATTCTCTTCGTAAGTTAGAGATCTTTATAGTTTTATATTTAGTAGTTAAGTTGTCAGGTAGATTTTTACGATTAATCACCATTTATCCTTTCAAAAGGCTTAGGTTGATAGCTTTCATTCAATTCTAAAGTAACTCACAGAAATTTACGTGGCATATAATTTAGTTATATTTTTCCGACTTCTTTGAATAAATAGGTCATAGAAACAAATTTTTTTGTTGACAAGGTATTTGACTACAAATCACTGTCCAAGGTACATCAATTTGTGTTGGTAAGCGAATGACTGATATCCACTCAACTTGGCGTCTTTGTGCATCAAACGAAACAGCACTTTCAAGCTCCATGATACCTTCTTACTGTTGGTCTACTTTTGTTCTACTACTTGTGTGTTTGGTTATTCAATTTTCTGTATAGAATAGCTTTCGTGAGCACATGCTCATTTCTATAGATCATTAATTTTCTTTTACCTGATTGTGATGTATAAGAGTTTTCTGTTTTTTTATTCGTAGGCTTGGGCTGTTGTTTATCGCAGTTGGCTTTCATTCATTCTGCTTTTATCTGCGTGCATCCTATGGATTGTTCCCAAATCTAGAGCTGCATGTTTATATTCTAGTCCTTTGATTGTCCTCTATGCTGTTGTTCTAATTTTAATACAGTATATCTGTGGATTAAATTTGAACTCCGACGAACTGCCGCAAGCAGTGACACCCGATGGTATTCAACTATCTGAATTGGGAATGCAGAGATCAGATCACTGTGTTGGCGCTCTTGCTCTTCAGGTAATATTTATTTTAAAAGGAACTTTTAAGAATATACAGTTTACTTTATTTAAGCCGCTTATTAACCTCGATTGTAAAGTTCCATACAAACTTTCTGCTCTCATGTTAAGGCTTCATCGTTTGTCAGCCCAATAAAGGCGCGAATTTTAAAGTAGATCTGTTGGTATGTCAACCACTTCACTTAAAATATTTCAATCGTGGGTGTAGACTGATCGTGAAACATGTATTTGAATTTAGAAATACAAAATTATATTTTATTTATCACAAGTATATTTTACTTACGCTATCAGATGGATTTTAAGTAGGAAGTTATTTCCCAGGCAGTCTCCATGTGTAGTGAGTAAAAATACATTATACACACTAGTTGAACATCAACCATTCGGATTGCCTCAGGTCACAGATCTCAGGTTAGCAACCTTCAGCAAAAGAATTTTTGTCTTGAGTAGTAAGCCAGCATCATAATTATACGTGCTTCTATATCAAGTGGAATGCTAGCAGCAAATTCATACCTCGTAGACCAAGCCTAAAATAAAGGTGATCATCTTCCTCTTACCAGTATCTTGTCTAGTTTAGTTTTAAAACAAGAAGTAGAAGTAGGTATGTTATCAGTCGTTCATACTGCAGATATAACATATTTATGATATAACTATAACTAAGATACACAGACAAAGCATTATTTGTTACAGTCAGTTGTCTCATATTTATCAATTCAATATCAGGAGACGTTTGGTTTTCTCACAAAGTTACCTTAGTAAACTAAATAAATTATTACGGTAAAACAAAAATAGATGGGATTTTATTCATCAGTCTGTCCAAAAATTACTCATGTTGATATTGATGCTTGAAATTTCCTCACTCAATGTCAACTTGAATAAAATGTAAGTAAAATATTGTTTGTTTCAACTAGTTGGTCAGAAAAGTTATCATTAGGACACTAATCTAGCTCGAAAACGTTTTAATATAAGCTGTTTTCCCCGTTAGTTTTTTCAAAATGTTACTAAGATTTATAAAAAAAGTATCTATGACCATGTAGGTACTATCTAGAAAATTATTATAATGATGGCACTGTAAACAGCGCCTGTTTAAATATCTGGGCTACCTGTTCCTGTCATCTAGATATTTCAACAAGTTATCTAATGTTGTTCGTTTTAATACATCATTATGCCTATTAATCGCACAACCTGTTCAGGTGCGTTTCTGAAAAGTGTAAGACCTTTCGCTGTAAAGGCTACAGAAGGCCTAATCAGAGATATCGTGGTTGCTTGCAATATGTAGCGAGAAGAATGTACATTATCCAGATGTCGATTGACTGGGCTGCTAACTTCTAACTGGAGATCACTCAATATTTATCGTCAGGAAGGACGAAGAAGTAAGAAACGGAAACTTGTTGAAGTACTTTGTGCTGAGAATTCTATATTGTACCAAAAATATAATATTGAATAAAGCTAATAATAATAATAACAACAACGGAGCTCATATTAGATTGACATCTGAGCCCCAAAATACTTTGTGATGTATATTTTCAGCTAAAACTATTCATGGACTTATCCAGTTTTGTAAACTCTCCATGGTAGACCAATTATATCAAGAGTAATCGCATATTCGAGTCAGTTCTGTTGTCTTAACAATAAAGAAAATGAAGAAAAATTCAGCCGTTGTGATGTGTTTGTGGAGTGTGATTTCCTAGGATAGTAAAAAGTGATAGTCCCAGAAGCTAGTGGAGACGGATTGAAGTGGAGTTTAAACGTCACCTTATTAGGGTATGATGTTGAATGTCATGTACTAAAAGCCAAGGTTAACTGATTGCGATAGTTGTAAGCTAAATGGTAACGTAGTGTAAATTCTGTAGTCACTATCAGTCGTCATGTATAAATTTATTATGAATGGATTATCTCGGAGAATTGACGAGTTTTTATTAATTTTTCTGACTTATCGGGTTATCGATCAAGATGAATTATACTTTATGGAGAAATCGTAATCACCAAAAGTGGATAGATATTTTCTTAGCGTCTCTTTAAGTAACTGGAAATTATTGTTACATTGAATATATTAGTAAAAGGTAATGTAAATATAAGCTCAATATCTTATAATTTCTGTTCTTTTAGATAGGTTTCTTAATTTGCTTTTGGTTGACTTTGAGATTGTTTGTAATGGAACGTGCAGCCAAGCGATTATCAGCACATCATCAACGAGTTGTTTTAAAAAGTGAAGAATTACAAACAAGTTCAGGCTCTACTCCTCTTCCTCGCTTTCAGAAGTCGCTGCCAACTATCTTGAAGTTTCGTAGACGAAGTAATAAAGAAGATGGAAATAATATCTTGCTAACTCCTTTCTTAAATATGGCGGACGATTTTCAAACACATACTAGCTATAATGCTGCTATTTATGGCCCTGCAGCGTCTTTCGGGACTGTAGACAATAATATTTACAGGCGATTCAGTAAATTTATTCGACTTTATTTTCAATTATTCCTATAATTTGTTTAAAACTGTTGGTATACTTTCATTATAAGGGAGAGTAATTTTCTATATAGTTTAGTGCTTTGTGTCGGTACAAGTCAATTTCACAAAAGTGAGGTTATGAAACCTCAAATGATAATTTCTACATTATGGTTGCTATGTAGGAAGATTTTGTAATATGTAACTAGATGACACTTGGAGGTTGTTAAAATGAATCGGTAGAATACTGATCGACGAACGAAATGCCATTTCTTTGACTGCTTTTATTAGTTTGGATAGTATCAGATTTTAGATACCGTTTGAACTACAGCATTTTTATTTTACGATAAGGTTCTCTATACAACATTTTTATATGCAATTGTGCTATTTTTAGTTATTCTATTCCATAGTTTAATAAGATTTAACGATGAGTTGTTGTTCCTCCATTTACTGTCTATCTGAATCATACCATACCTTATTTTGAGCACACGTTTGGAACTAAGTTGGCAATAATTATATGCTCTTCTATATTAGGATGATTGTTTGCCCAACATATCTCATAATTGAAACGAATAATACACGTGTTATCATACTCCATATTGCGTAGTAACCGAATTATAGTGAAATGTTTATGTCCTTATAATAAGTTTTTTCGATTAAACATTTAGATAATTTTATTGTGTTAAGATGCGTTTCGTTTAAATTTACAAATAAAGTGTAAATTTACACTTATACATAAAATATAAGTAATGCTCACATCCTGTATTTCTTTTTTTTTCTATTTCATGTCATAGCTGAATTTATGCATTCTTTATGCGTAAAGTATTGGATTGTCGTTTGTTGTCTGAGTATGCTGTTGGTTTCTGTCCAACAGCCTGTCGTTGTATTTCGTATTGTTTACATGGTTATGCTGATTTACTTCATGTTGATTTTTCAGGTGAGATAGAGTCAGTAGAACAACGTTTATTTTCGTTTACATAAACAAATATAATAGATTTTGATAATTAATCTTTGTTGATACAGAAGGACATAATATTTCGGTGTTACGTTTTTCCCATTATTCTAAATTTACTGGATGTTTGGAACCATTTAATTTTCCCTTAGTCCTGGCATGTAACTGGAGATTCTATTTCTTAATGGTAATATGTACTTTTTCGATTCAGTCAGTCACAACGTAGGACCAGGCACATATGCATCGGTCCAAGTTGCTACACCTCATTAGCACAACAAGACTTTTTCAATTGCTGTTACAATAATAAATATTTATAAATTTAATGAATCTGCTTTTGTCAATTACTGTCTGTCTTCAATTCCCTGTTACTATATGACGCGAAGTATCACTGTAAAATTTTTTTGTCGCACCTGCTTGATCAAGGTATATTTATGATGAAATTGTTGTGGATTATACTATCGTATATTATTTTTAATACTTTATTTTACTGCAAATCTATAAACTCTTAATTCTCCATTTTTTCAGATAAGTTATGCTATTTGGCGTCGTCAAATGTTATGTTTTTGGTGGGTCATTGTTGTATACTCTATGGCGATGCTTTTGTGTATTTATACTTTTCAATTTAATGAGTCACCCAGTTTTTGGCAAAAGAAACTACATCTTTCACCTGAGATGTAAGTTTATATTCTGTTTCTTTGAAATGATGTTTCATTGTATAAAGGTTGCAATATTTTATTTCATGTAAGATAAAGTAGGACACTGATAAATTATGAGATATATTCTACTTTTTTTCCTCTTTTTGACATTTTTTTCTATTTCATAGCTTAAAGGCGTTTGGATTAGAAACTTTTGAAAGTGCAGCTCTTTTTGAACGTTTACTAACGCCAGTTGTATTCTTAGTTGTTATAATTTTACAAGTGCATTACTTTCATATACCATTCCTTAAAGCATCCTCATTAAATCGCTTTCAGTAAGTTTTATATTTTGTCTTAATGGTTTGAAATAACCAACAATATACATTTATACTTATGTTCATGATAAGTAGTATCCTCGTTTGACCTATGTAACGGATAATTTTTAATATCGAGATACATTTTTTTCCCAATTACTATCATCATACAGATAAGGTTCTAAGTTCAGTAATGATTTGCAAATCAAATCCTTTTTATAATTTGATTAAATTTATCTTAATAGTGCCAATTTTAAGTTGTTTCTTTTGTTTTTAAAATCACATTAATCGCAGTACAGAGTGACTTCATATTTATATAATGTAAATTAGCTTAGGTGGAGTAGAAAAATGGAGTTATGACATTTGTTTTGTGAATTAAATAAATTTTCAATTAGATTGCTTAAAACATATCTTCACGATTTCGTGTTATATCATATATTGTAGGATAGCGCTTTTTCATTCATCTTCTTTGCCTTTAATTGATATTTTTTGGTTGTTTGAAATTACCACAATGTCGAAAATATAGTTATCATGGTTAAAAAATTTACCGTTCTAGGTTATTACACCGTTTAGTCTTATAAGGTTCTGGAATTCATTTGCTTTTCAAACTTTGTTACCATGCTTGTATAGATCTTCTAGATAAATCACGCAATGATCATACAATGAGAAGCGATAGAAAGTTATTTCAAGATGAAGATCGGCTATAGCATCCTTTCGTCACTATACTGCATTTCGTTTTTAAACGATGGATACAATTTGCATTGCATGTTACCTATATGGAAACTACTTTTCAGGATTATTCATAATTGGTACTTCTGCCGAATCGTAATAATGAATAATTTAAAATAGTAGAAGAGATTTTGTAGCTTTACACTTTCAGTAGATTCTATCACTATTGCAAACGAAAAAGTACGTTATATCACACTTAATGGTCTTATCCACAAGTTGCCTTGTGTATATGTATATAAACTTCTAACATTTTATTTGGTGAAACTAATCTCATGTCGTAAAATGGTCTCAATTAATATTTCAGATTGCCTCAAGTTTCCAGGGGTTCTGTGAATTCACGTTCTGGGATTTTTGACGATCGCAATTCAAATACATCTATTTCTCAGAGTAGTAACATGTCCAGTGAGTTTCAGACTTAAACAATCATTTGTAGGTTAACTCTTTCTCTACCACTTATATCATTTTTTCTATAGTTAGTCTTATGTTTATTTAGATTTCTTTCTGACCTGCATATCATTAAACCTTAAATCTTTTATTGTGTGAAGTAGTTATTTAAGTCGGATTTGTGGTGCTGTCAACACTTGTAGAAACGTCATTATTTCATCACGAGTTTACTGTTTAAGGGGAAATAATTGTCGGTGACCTTCAGTCTCTTAACATTTCTAGTCGTTGCATCTAATTATTTTAATTGACAGATAACTACCTCCCATTAATTGTTTATTTCCTGAAAACAATATCATTTCTAAAAATAGTTTTCAAAGGTTTCTGACTTTATTCGCTTATAGCATGACTTATTATGTATAGAAATATTCCAGCCCAGGTTTAAAACTGAACTAATGAGATATAGTTAAAAGACAACTATATCTCTTCTTGGTTTTTCACTTTAGTTTAAGTCGACTGATGAAACCTAATTAACAGTTAAAAATATACCTTCAGAGCAAAATCTCTAGTCAGTTAACATTGATTTGTTTCAGTACTAAATTTATAGTCATTTACAGAAGGTTGAATCAGGTAACCATGGATTAGTTATCTAATGCAAAATAGAATAGCCGATGACCTAAGGAAGAGAAAAGTGGTAATACTTAAAAGATCGGTTGTTCCACTGTCGATGTTTTTCCGTAACGCCATATGATTAACTTGATCAAAACAAAATTAAGGGTCAAAATAATATTTCTCTGTGTAGTAATTGTAGTTTACGATAGGCTGCAGTCAATCTTTGAGAAGTGCCCAACCAAGGACCTGACCATTCTAATGGGAGATTTCAATGCCAAGGTTGGAAAGGACAACACTGGATACGAAGACGTCATGGGACAACATGGACTGGGAGGAAGGAACGAAAACGGTGAGAGATTTGCAAACCTATGTGCCTTCAATAAACTGGTCATAGGTGGCACCATATTCCCACACAAAAACATACACAAAGCCACTTGGATTTCACCGGATCACACTACACAGAATCAAATCGACCATGTCTGCATCAACAAAAAGTTCAGGAGGACGATGGAGGATGTGAGAACCAGGAGAGGAGCTGATATAGCATCCGATCACCATTTGCTGGTCGCCAAGATGAAACTAAAACTCAAGAAGCACTGGACAATGGCGCGGACAACATCACAAAAGTTTAATACTGCCTTTCTTCGAGATGCTGACAAACTCAACGAATTTAACATAGCCCTCAGCAACAGGTTCCAGGCCTTTCATAACCTACTCAATGAAGAGGGAACCACCATAGAGAGCAGCTGGAAAGGTATCAAGGAGGCAATCGTTTCAACATGTCAGGAGGTTCTGGGCCAAAAGAAGCACCATCACAAGGAATGGATCACTGTTGGTACACTGGATAAAATTGAAGCAAGGAGGAACAAGAAGGTAGCAATCAATATCAGCCGAACAAGAGCAGAAAAAGCCAAGGCACAAGCCGAATACACAGAGGCAAACAAGCAAGTGAAGAGGAGCATCAGGACCGACCGACGTAAATATGTGGAAGATTTAGAATTGACGGCGGAAAAGGCTGCAAGAGAGGGAAACATGAGACAACTGTATGATACAACAAAGAAACTTGCTGGAAATTACCGTCAACCAGAAAGACCAGTGAAAAACAAAGAAGGCAAAGTAATCAACGATATTGAAGAACAACGAAACAGGTGGGTAGAACACTTCAAAGAACTCTTGAATCGACCAGCTCCACTGAACCCACCCAACATCGAAGCAGCACCCACAGACCTCCCAATCGATATTGGCCCACCAACAATTGAAGAGATCAGCATGGCCATTAGACAAATCAAGAGTGGCAAAGCAGCGGGACCAGACAACATCCCGGCAGAGGCACTGAAAGCAAATGTAACGGCAACTGCCAAGATACTCCACATCCTCTTCGGTAAGATTTGGGACGAAGAACATGTACCAACAGACTGGAAAGAAGGACTTCTCATCAAGATACCAAAGAAAGGCGATCTCAGCAAGTGCGACAACTACAGAGGCATCACTCTCCTCTCAATACCAGGAAAAGTCTTCAACAGAGTATTGTTAAACAGGATGAAGGATTCCGTGGACGCTCAACTTCGAGATCAACAAGCTGGATTTCGTAAGGATAGATCGTGCACAGATCAAATCGCAACTCTACGTATCATTGTGGAACAATCAATCGAATGGAATTCATCACTGTACATCAACTTCATCGACTACGAGAAGGCATTTGATAGCGTGGACAGGACGACACTGTGGAAGCTTCTTCGACACTACGGTGTGCCTGAGAAGATAGTAAATATCATACGGAACTCCTATGATGGACTAAACTGCCAAATCGTCCACGGAGGACAACTCACCGACTCGTTCGAGGTAAAGACCGGTGTTAGGCAAGGTTGCCTACTCTCACCCTTTCTCTTTCTCCTGGTGATCGACTGGATTATGAAGACGTCAACATCTGGAGGAATGCACGGGATACAGTGGACAGGCAGGATGCAGCTTGACGATTTAGACTTCGCGGATGATCTGGCTCTTCTATCACAAACGCAACAACAAATGCAGGAGAAAACGACCAGTGTAGCAGCAGCCTCAGCAGCAGTAGGTCTCAATATAAACAAAGGGAAAAGCAAGACTCTCCGATACAATACAACATGCACCAATCCAATTACACTTGACGGAGAAGCTTTGGAGGATGTTGAAATCTTTACATATCTGGGCAGCATCATTGATGAACACGGTGGATCAGATGCAGATGTGAGGGCGCGGATCGGCAAAGCAAGAGCAGCATATCTACAGCTGAAAAACATCTGGAGCTCAAAACAATTGTCAACCAACACCAAGGTTAGAATTTTCAATACAAATGTCAAGACAGTTCTTCTGTATGGGGCAGAGACGTGGAGAACTACGAAAGCCATTATCCAGAAGATACAAGTGTTTATTAACAGCTGTCTACGCAAGATACTTCGGATCCGATGGCCAGACACTATCAGCAACAAGTTACTGTGGGAGACAACAAACCAGATTCCAGCGGAGGAAGAAATCAGGAAGAAGCGCTGGAAGTGGATTGGGCACACTTTGAGGAAATCACCCAATTGTGTCACAAGACAAGCCCTCACATGGAATCCTGAAGGTCGAAGGAGAAGAGGAAGACCAAAGAACACATTACGCCGAGAAATAGAGACAGACATGAGAAGAATGAACAAGAACTGGAAAGAACTAGAAAAGAAGGCCCAGGACAGAGTGGGTTGGAGAAAGCTGGTCGGCGGCCTATGCTCCATTGGGAGTAACAGGCGAAAGTAAGTAAAGTGATTGTAGTTTATTGAGGTCACTCCCTTCTATCTTATCAGTATTTCATGGTACGTGGTGCGCGATAGGTTGAAATACTAGCATATTCAACATGGTAAATCTATATTTAGTAACATGGCAGCGTACTTTATTTCTAAGATAGTTTATGAATGTTTATTTAAGTCTTTTATCCTCATTGCCTTTGAAGTATTATTGTTCAACTCGACAACTAATTTATCCACTGATTTGCTATTTCCACATATTTTTAAAAAAGTGGATTTGTGGTTATATTCGGTCTATTCTCTAATTTTCTTTGCGAAATTTGTGTTAAATTTTCTAGTTTCAAACGTTGGATAACTGTATTAAATGTAACCAAGACAGAAAACACAGCATTTTCTTCGTTACATTGCCAGTCTTTAGCATTTGTACGGTATTGCCTTTATGTGTAAGTAATCTTTCAGTGAGGCCACGTTGCACAAGCGTATAGTTCAGGTGCCTATACTATTTCGTTATATACGACATTTTCTGATCGGATTAACGTTGTGATTGTACCATATTTGGCCAAGGCTGAGATAAAAACACCATAGCTACTGCCCAACGTAGGTTAATCTCACTTTCTTCATCTCCAATGAGAATCACCCAACTACCAGATACAGAAGCATTTCGACAATTTCTAATCACTTTCTTCCAAGAGTTAGCGTATACACAGACTCTCATTATTTTCGTAGAAGTATTTCTCACTTTGTTAGCTTAAGGTCTATCCTATACTTATTTACGTGGGGGATTAATTAATCAAGTGCTAGCATTCATTTCGTTGTCAACACTGTTAGTCACATAACTAGTGTAGAAAAGGTTCTTTACAGATAACACATTTACACTACCAACACATATGTTTCTTAATATCGTCGGCAACTAAATTAAAGTCCAGTAACATTTCTGAGAGACCCTCCAAAGTTTAACTACTAATTTTAAACGGTGGAAAAACGTGGCTGTGTGTTACTTTTGTTCAAAATACACATTATATAATAGTACTATCAAAACTACTTCTTGTGGTCCTATTTAGTTGTGTGTATAATGTAGAACTTTAAGAAGCGGTCTGCATAAGTAGGTGGAATTACTACTCATGTATTTTCCAGTTAGGTATCTTAATTGCTCTTCATCTTTTCATCGTTTAAAAATTACAACGACTTGAATCATTATTTCTCCTTTGTTAAACCCTTAATATATTTTTTTGTAGATTTTATTGAAGATGTGAATTCAGCATTTCAAATAGTTGTTTCAAAATTATATTGTTGGGCTGATAGTCTCACAAATCATTGTTGGCGTTTCTTTGAAATACATTGGATTAAATTAGTTGGATTAGTGATAATTGTCACTTGTACAAATGAAGTAAGTTTTTAAATTATTGTGAAAAAATTGAAATATAGTATACCATTAAATTATTTTACTTTTTTAACACTTATTTTTTTCGTACTTTTTAAATTTGTGCTACTTTGTTTCCGTTATCCTATTCTTTGATAAACCAACTTACAACACTTGCGTGTAACAAATAAGAAAATAGAGATACTAACAGCTACTAAGAAACCTGTCTTCCTAAAACTGCAATTCAACGGCGATTTAGCTGGTAATGTACTACGTGATAGACTAACTAGAGCAGCGAAGAGAACGTTTAATGCAGCCGACCTCTGTCTATCGTACTCGACCCGATATACGGTGATTCCTCAACTAAAGGATAAGTTACCTAGTTATGTCACTTCTATGTGTATCTATGAATTCAGCTGCTCCTGTGGAGAAAGCTATATTGGGCGCACTACCAGACAACTGAACCAAAGAGTTAGTGAACACCTCCCTTCGTGGTTAGGAAGAGGTACTGTCAAGACAATACGGAGCTCGGTTTTTCACACATGATCGATAGCGGTCATATAGTTGACAGAAATAAGTCATTTAAAGTTACTTATCGTATCCTACTAGTTTTTCTTATGGGGTTCGATCTCGTCTCTCACACATAGCAGAAGCTATAGGAATTCGATCCAACAATCCAAGCCTTTGTGTTCATAAGAAATTTGTAACACCTTTATTTTTCCCTTGGCCTTAATAAATAATTTTATTTCCCATACTCTTTCTTCGTTTACTTTTTTTTCTTCACCCCCTCCTACCAATTATCTATTTATTCTCTCAAATATACGTTTCACGGTCCAATTGCTTGAACACTTCTTATTACGTAATCCTATAATTTCTGTGAATGTTATTTCAGTGTCTATGTTTTTCTATTATCAGAAGGGGTTTTGTGGATATTTAGCATTTCCATAGTTGAAAGCGTGAGTCAATTGAAGCTAGACCACCAGGGAAAACCTGGAGTTAGACATAAACACCATGGGATGCCGGCTCAGTGGTCTATCGGTTAAGTGCTATGGCGCGAGACTGGTAGGTCCTGGGTTCGAGTCTCGCGAGGCGAGGTCGTGGATGCGCACTGTTGAGGAGTCCCACAATAGGACGAAACGGACGTCCAGTGCTTCCAGGTTTTCCTTGGTGGTCTAGCTTCAATTGACCCATGATCTCATCTATCATTTTCTAATCATTGACCTATTTCCCATTATGTAACATTGATTCAAACCTTTATTATTCTTGTCACAGCCAGTACACCTGTCACCACACCATCAATTTGTACTTTTCACTTATTATGTTTATTTATGTAACCTATTCCACTGTTATCGTTGACTCATAAACTGCCTTGATTGGTTTAATAATTTCGTAAATGCATATAAATATTACTGTATATTAGAGTAGACCCTGATGAGGATTTAATCGAAAACAATACTGTTCGCTTATGAAATGTTGTTCTAAATCACAATATGGGGATTTTTCAAATTTTACATTAAGTCGTGAAATGTCAGAAACTCAATGTTTTACTCGTTAGGATATTGCAAATTTATTATTATTATTATATTACTTCATAATTCTCAATTGTTTTTAACATTTTGACCATAACAAGTAATAATGTCTTTAATGTCAATGGTAATTTTACATCTTTTGATTTTATTTATTTCTTTTCCATTATATTTCTTATGTTTAGATTTCTATTACTTTTCATAGTATTTTCCACTCTATATTTCATGTCTTGTTGATTTCCTCTTGGTGTATTTGTGTGTGAGATGTAGCATTTGTTCCAAGTTCTATGTTGATGATAACTATATCAATTTAATCTTCCTACTAACTTTTCTAGGATTTGTACGTATACATTCTTTTGAAAATCTATTTTGAGTAGTATCCTTAATTATAGGATGTGATGAAGTATTCTTGAATCCATTTATTAATTTAAATAATATTCTGAAACCAACATTTTTTAAAAATTATTTTATTGTAGGTTTCGGCAACGAATATTGTCTCTCTTATATTTCTCGTGATTTGTTTCCCTTTTCCATATCTGCATGGATTTATGACAACATTTGTTTTTATATGGACTAGTGTTCAAATACTTTGTAAGATGACTTTTCAGTTAAGTGCTGTCAACTGGAACATATCGTCATCATCTTGTGTAAAGGTAATACAATTTAGGTGTTGTTGTAATTTTTCTCTTCTACCAATATGATGTAATGTTATACTCTGACGGGTTCTATTCTAATGGGATATTGGCACATTGGATTTAGTAACACTAAACTGTTTTGTTGGAAATAGTTTTTTTAAGGAATAACATAAGCATTCTACTTCTTAGGAAAGGGATGACGTCTTGTTATAGCTGCGGTTTGGTGGTTAGAGCGTTCGACTTTCAACCACTGGGTCACAGGCTCGAGTCGCGCTCCGCCTACTTCGGTTTGGGCAAGTGAGTAGCATCAGTAGTCCTCATGCAAAAAGTGTGGCTTAAAATCAAGTACGCGAGTCTATACTTGTTAAGCCGTATATAGGGGGAATCATGTGACATGTGATTCGTTCATCTTTTGAATCTGTTCAGTACCATTGCACTCTTAACAATTAAATCAAGAAACATTCCTTCCTAATTAGCCCACCAAAGACATAGTTCCCTGATTATGTCAAGCAATACTCGAACTTGGATCTCCTTATTGTTGAAAAAAACGGCAATGAAAATATTCATATATTCTAGAGGTGGTTGTTTTTACTTACCATTAGAAACCGTATTTTTATTAGTAGATTTAATGGTTTAAATTGTTCCACTTTCTCTCAAACATTTGATCCACACTAGAACCGTGATTAGTAGTTGGAGACATGGCTCAAAATTAGTCACATATGCCTAGATCCATTTGCACTTTATCTTCCTATAGATCTTGAATTCCAATATTCTTACATACCTTTTCATTTTCTCGTACTATATTGTCATTGTGAAGTCTCATTACTACTATATTATTTCAGTCTGTTTTATCATTCATCTTGCCAGGTTCTACATTTATTTATTTATTTATTTAAACACATAAATATTGGTACAAGGAAGCACCAGATACATATGTGCCATACAAATCTCATTCGATTTGCTTGAGGGCTGTGATACTGCCCAGGTGCCCGAACTGAAGCAGGTAGTTTTCTTAGGGACCCACACCCGGAACCTTTGACCTAAAAGTCTGATCCACAAGGCAGTGGAGCATCGTGAGGAGATGCAGTCCCATGGTAGCCGATGATCAACGATTGATTCGTACGCCATTTGTTCCCTCAGGATACTGGAGCCCATGTGCACCATTAGTTTGGAATCAGGGTTTTCCAACTCCCCTAGGTGGATCCTTCACATCCACCAACCCAGTTAAAGCGCCGAACATTCGCTTTTCGTCCTCTCAATTTCGTAAGCAACACCCCCGCCACGAGAAGGCAGTGAGTAGGACTTTCCTGGCAGAGGCTATATATTCGCTGGCCATATGAGAGCATTTCGCGAGGGAGAGCGGACTCTCCCCACTCTCGGCCTTACCAGGGCATTTGAGGGCTCTACATTGATTACAATTGATTGGTTATAAATGGGAAATATCTGTTTGATGATTATTGTGACTAGAAAATGATCTATTTCATTTCATTTGTTTAACGTAATTGTTTTGTTACATTTTCGTTATTGATTTTCAAGCTTCACAACTCCACTACATTAGATCCAACTTACTGGCTCGGTTTTAAAAAGGTTGACAACTTCCGTCAGTATATTATGGTTAGTCTTAAAGTTATTTATACGAGCGTTTTTCGTTTGCTTAAAATTTAAGTAAAATGTTTATTAATTGAGATTATGAATCGGTCAATGTTAGACCACCATTGGGAACCTGGAAACACTGGACGGCTGTCTCGTTCTAGTATGGGACTCCCCAGCAGTGCGCACCCACGATCCCACACGCCAATCCATAGAATCGCGCAACTATCTTTCATTGTCTGAGGTAGATAGCTGTCTCTACCCGACACGGATTAGCTTCACTGATAGCGGCTTCTTACTAGAGCTCCGGAAATCACCTTGCTTAGCTAGCCATTAGTGAGCGCCTGGTAATTATCAGTAAGGGGTTGTGGAGATTGTTGAGTTTTTGACTGAAATCATGGATCGATCAATGTTAGACCACCGTCGATCGATTCATGATTTCAGTCAAAAACTCAACAATCTCCACAACCCCATACGGAAAACTGTTTATTGTTAAAACAGCAGATGGACATTTAGTAAAAAAATTTAAAACTTTTCGTATGTTTATATCAATTTAGAAGAAAAGGAAGTAGAAAAAAGCGAGGAAAACAAATAGTAACAGGAAACGACAAATATAATATGATATAGTGTTCTACGACTTTAATTATGTGCTTATAAGAATAACTATTGTAAAAATTACATGCTCATACGGTTATCGTGTATTTCTTGCTGAACTAATTCAGTCTTATAGTAATTGGTGTTTTTGCATCAAGTGTATGTTTAAGAAATTCGATTCTTTGATATTTTTGTTTACCATTACTATTTTTTTTAGCCATATGGTGCATTACTGGTTGTCACTGTAGTCTGGCATGCTATAGCATATAGACAACGTCAATTTTATAACAATGATAGAATTACTCGTCCAGGTGAAGGAATTATATTTCCTGGTGTTACAATCAATTCCATGGGTTATGACTTATTGAATGTGGTTAAATTTGCTTTTAATTATGGATTCTACAAATTTGGTTTGGAGGTCAGTATTTCTTGTATATCTTCCTTATACTACAGTTATTTATAATGTAAGATACGAGGTATAGTTTTCCAAAGGCGAAATCTTTTCTGAACATTTCAGTGTTAAGCTTTATGGCACTTCATACATAATCAACATTTTTTGAATTACTATTTTCTAAACTAATATTTATCATTCATCTATCGTAGGCTCACGGATTAAGACGCTTTTGAACTAGCTAGTAAAATCATCAGTAAAATCCAGTTAATAGAACTTTACTGATGTATGATGCCTTCCAATTAGCTTCATGATAGAATTTCAATGAATAAGATAGATTCATACTTAAAATTCTAGCCGTTCATATACGTAACACTATATTTAATTTATGCTTGACTATAAATCATTCCAATCCAGTCAGTGTTTCTCAAATAAACTTTATTATTGTTATATAGCTAATGAGTATGTCACTAATGATTTTCAAATTTATACAAAATGTTATTTACCTTCTTCACAGAATGCGTGTAACTTCCAGTAAACAAATTATACTAATAGGATATTTATTACTTATGTTAGTGTTTTGTAGTTTTTGTTTATTTACATGTTACTAAAACTGCTTATTGATCTAAGTTTGAAAAAAGGGATAATGCAAAAACATCTTACTTATTTCAATCTATTTATTTACTTTTTTTATTCAGCTTTGTCATTGTACTACCGTTGTCACTACATGTGCACGCGTCGACGCTTTCAGTGTATTATACTTATTGCTGATGTTAGTGTTTCTATTCTCTCCACGACGAGTATGTGCACGTCTATGGCCTTCTTATATGGTAATTCTAGCTGTACTTATACCAATACAATATGCCAGTTGTATTGGTCTACCACCTGGATTATGTTTGAGTACGTTTTAATTTCTTTTTTTCTTGTTGATGATTTTCCTTTTAATTTTTACCTTGTCTACGTAGGTTATTAGTATCACCTTGTAGTAATATCGTTTAGAATTGTAATAACAAACTATGAAGTTGTTAAATATCTACATCATTTCATTATCTAATTAATTAGTTCCCTAGCAAATCATATGCCTGAATAATTATATTCCTACAGTAACAGATTTTATTTTATGCTTCATTCCTTAAATGTTTCGTGGTAGAAATGCACCAGTTCAGATGAATACTCTAGATCGTAAATCAAATAAACTATTAGTTTCCGATTCAGAAATGAAATGATTTTGTGGTAGCTGTAATATGTAACAGTTCTGGATTTAATTCTACCTGGGATCGATGATGCCTATAATAATGAGTCTTAAGCTAGGGAAGAGCATCGCCACTGTACTCATCTCTATTAAAGCTGATATTGGTCTTTAGTTAGAGATGTCTTCAATCTTAGCATATCTGGTAGGACAAGTTGGATCTTTGAAAATTTCCTGCTTCTTTATCAAAGAAGATGTTACATTAGGGGTTCTTGTTGTAGATTTTTTAGGTTATTTATGGTACTTAAAGCTTGATCATTGAGAAATTAATCATTTTTGTCCAAAATATTGGCCTTGGTAAAAATCCCCATACAATTTGAACTATATTTTACAGTTGACATTTCATTACAGGATGTTATAGCATAAAGTATTTTGTTTATATTATAATTTTATGGAGATAAGTGACAAAAATTTAAATAATTCTTACCATCCATTCATGTTAATTGTTCGATATCATTGATTAGAATAGTGATGAAAGAAGGTGAGATTTTAACATTTCGGTTTGTTTAATTAACTGTTTACTGATACTATTTCCTCCAATGATCTTTTTTTGAAGCTTTATATATTTCAGCAAATCAATCCTCTATCTGACTGTTATACACAAATAATTTAACCATTTAACCATAATATATTCTAAACATTCCAGCGTATCCTGTTAAAACAGGATAAAAATAGCTTCCTGTATTTCATTTCTAGTCACAAACCAACTTAAGTAAAATGTGTAACTAAAAAATACTATCGTGACCATCAGCTCAGGATGGATATGTGTCAATATAGACTGATCAAATGCAATTCTTACTATGGACAGCAGGAAAATTCACACATATAATTAGATTTATCAAGTGATATTGTCATATTCTTTAGATTTGGCCAATCTACACATAATAAGTAATTGATGGTTTTATTTTTAGTTCCCTATAATTCAGTTTTTTGGATTGCATTTTCAATGTTTTTCTATTTTCTATTAGGTTATCCTTGGTATACCGAATCGATAGAAATTAATAATCTTCTTCAGTGGTTGTATCTACCTAGTGACTTTGGTGCACCATCTGCTTATAAATTAACTGGTATACCTATATTTGAACAATAATATTTCTTATGCATATATGTATTTATCTTATTTTGAATGCTTCTGATGATAAACCTTTATGCAGGGCTTTCTAATTTTTTCACCATTTATTCAATCCGTTTGGGAAGAGACTACAAACAGCCAGTATAAAATGCTGGATTTCTTGGAATAAAGGCTAGAGACTGTGATAGTCTGCTATTACAAGACACTAAAGAAGTGTGTCACAGCTACTGGCAATTGTTTATGTAACCAAAGTAGGCTGTGTTAAAGCTTATGATCATATCAAGTCTTGTTCATTAGCACATTCACTCTCTCGCACTTAAGTGTCGTAATGGTTATGTTCCCTGTCGTAACATTCTCATCTGAATGTAGATTGCATAGGCAATGTAGTACGGTTCGGTGCAAAACTCGAACAACGGCAATTTTTAGTTTACGTTTTTTTCCTTCAAATTCTGAAATGATATTTGTTAAATCAGTAGATAATGAAATGTTGGTATGGATACGAACGACTTGTTTGACTTTTCTGAACTTACATCATTTTAGTCGCATACTAGGTGTTCCTTTAATTATCGTACGGTGTGTATACTGCACAGCAGTTCGCTTTGCTTTGATGATATGAAACACGATCTTCAAAGGTGGGAGACACTTAAGTTATTGTTTGATTACGAGTTCCTTCTAAGCACTTCTCTTGCACGTTGAAATCATGGACTTTGTTGAGCTGAGGTTCAGTTTACTGTACTAGGCAACCAACAGATGATCAACCTACAGTATAATATTATTCCACACATTTTATCGATTTTATTCATTATGTGTTACATATAGTGCTATCTTTAGTTGCCCGTTAATGTTCGGATTATTTTCACTTTTTTGTTTCTCATAAAATATAATGACTTGAGTCGATATATTTATTCCAAATCTTACTCCGTTTATCCCGTTCTATGAACACGCTACTGTGATAATGCAACTAAAATAGTGATCAGTGGGTTCGATTCCAGAAATGGACATCAACTGTGAGATTCAGGTACATCCGACTGACAAGTCTCACATAGGACGAGAGATACGTCCTAGACTCCACTGCTAGCCACATTTAATCTATTCTTTATCACTTTAATCAACTGTTTTCATGATATTTAGTATATTTGTTTTGCTTCCTTACATATCTTATTAGCTGACTTCTTTCAGTTCGCTGCAGTGGCTTTACAATTTCGTGTCTTTAAGATTGAACAACGCCCTGATTCAGAAAGGTATGATGGTGGTTCTAACCGTCCAATTTTAACTAATGAATTACCTAACGAGGAAGATCGCGATTTCGTCAGCACTAAAGAGTGAGTTACGGTTACTGTATTGAATTAATCATTCATTTTAATAATTCATTTAAAAGCAATTTTTCACGTTCTATTAGCAATGGGTGTTAAACTTGCATTCTAGATACGTTGAACATCTGCATCTCAATTTTCTATTTTTTGAATTTCTTAAGTACGTACCTGGTGACAATAGGGATTTCTATTCCTTATTAACCATTAGGCACTAATTTTGGTTTAAATAGGCAATATTTTGTACTTTGATTGTTTGCTGATGTCATATGAATTGTCATTCTAAAATCCACTCATTCAGCGTCCCTTTTAGAGTTCAGAAGGATGAGTAATGTTATATCTTTCAAGGCACACTAGTAATAATTTCCCATACAATATTACATCTTTTCTTTAGTTCTTTACAGATTTATTTCATTTGGAAACAGTTTCTGTTCCGCTCATATAAAGACTATGAATTATTACTCAGTAATCATGATCGTCTAACGATACTTGTGAATAAAAGGTTAAGTTGTTATTTCTAGGCCTATTTGTTTAATGGCGAGTGAATTTAAACTGAGAAACAAGTGTGTAAATGTTAACCATCTTCTAAAATGATAAACTACCATAAATTATGATTAACGCACCGCAGAAGAAATCGTTGCTGCTATTGAAAAAAACAGCGCAACAATAATTACTAGACGCTTTTATAAAGAAGCGTTTATATTTCCCCATTAAACATTAAATCCTCTCTTAAATTTCAATTTTCTAACACAATGAGGATCTATGTTTACAATATTTGTTCTACTTTTCTCTATTGTCATTGTTTTTTTGTTTTTGATCAAACATTTTGGTAATTTACATTTTTAGTATTGATGAATTACTTTTTATTTGCATTGATATGAAACATTATTTAACCATTGACTAATTATATCAAGTTGTCACTACACAATTATAAAAAAGAGAAGTCTTATGAATTCTATAAATATTTAGTTTATTTACATGTAGGCAGTTAATTGACAGTTACAGTTATCCGCCTAGCGAAGTGAGTGGAGCCTCTAATAGCTCTTCTGACAGAGAAGAGCTCAAAATAACGGTGCGACTGGACACTGGAGAATTGTGTAGATAGGAACACGATATCAGTAGTATGGGAGAATTTATAGACCCACGCCACGTAATGTAGACGTATTATATGACTGCAGCTCAGATGATGTAAAAGATGAGTTTTACAGAAAGCTCTCTGACCTTCTCCGAAAAGCTAGGCGCTGTGATATAGTAATAGTGGCTGGAAAGACACCTGGGTAGATCTTATGTTGTCGTGGCTCAAAGAACAGATAATGGCAACCGTCTGTTGCAGCTGTGCTCAGATAACCGCCTGTTTCTTACAAATATTAACTTTAAGCACAAGAAAAAACATCTTTTGACATGGCGACCCCCATCCAATTCGTCCCAACGTTGGACCCAATTAGATCACATCGCTATCAGCCACCGATGGAGGGGCTCGATAGAAGATTGTCGCTCATTCTGGAGTACATGTTTAGATTCAGATCATGCTTTAGTGCGAGCACGTATCTGTCTGCGTCTTACTGGACGTAGGAAAGACACTACAGGGAAACCTCTAAGGGTTCTACTTAATGATAGGCAAGCTAAGAATATATTTCAGGAACAACTGGTAAAACAGTTAGGCAGCCATGTAAGTTGTGTCCACCCCGAGGCAGCGTAGAATGACATCCGAAAAGCTGTGGAAACAGCAGTGATATCTGCTAGTTAGGTAAACTATAAGGTTAGAGAGAAACACTGGATCTCGGCAGCATTTACCGCACTGATAGATGCTCGAAAACTCATCTCATTTAGCTCTGAACATAACGAAAAGTGGAGTCAGCTTAAGCACAGGCTAATAAAAAGCCTATGTAATGATCGCGAACAGTAGTGGCTAACGAAAGTAAGAGAGATGGAAAAGGCAACAGCAGACAACTGTTCAGACTTGTTAAAGAAACCGGTATTAGGAACCCAACTGTCAGCGAAACTATCTCAGAAGAAGATGGACATATTATTCATTCTCAATCCAGGAGATTGGATCGATGGGCAGAACACTTTAGGAATCAGTTCAACTGGCCTTCAGCTACACTTCAATTACCCACGATCCCCAGTCGACCTGAATGGCAAGTTAATATATGTCCTCCAACTCTTTACGAGGTTGAAAAAGCTATAGAAAATCTGAAGTGAGAGAGAGCAACAGACCCTGACAGGTTTACCCCTGAGATTTTTAAGGATGGTGGTCCAGTACTAGCAGGGAGATTGATTGAGGTCTTAGGTAGAATCTGGAAACTGGACGTAATTCCATCTGATTGGTCCCAATCACTGATTGTGCCAGTCTATAAGAAAGGACAAAAGTCCTCTTGTGACTATCACAGAGGAATCAGTTTGACTAATATAGTGTTGCTAATTTGCTTTATTTATGGCGTAGGCTAGATATCCGTCTAGCAACCAAAAGAAGAGTTTACTGCGCAGCAGTTCGTTCCGTCCTACTTATGGCAGTGAAACATGGCCGGTAAGAGTAGAGGATATTCATAGGCTACTAGTATTCGATCATACGTTTCTTCGAAGCATTGCGATGTTTCATGGTGTAGGTTGGAAGAAAGCTAGCGGCGGCCAGACCAAAACGTGGCACAAATCGATGAAGTCACTGATAAGTGGACTGAGCCATGTTGGTAGGTGTAGACTACCTGGTTGGGATCCGCGAGATGATAGCAATCGATGGTTAGAGACCTTGAATAACATGGCTCAAAATCTTTTGCAATGGCGAAGGTGCATCCACTCTTTGTGTTCTCTCAAATTCTAATCATCTGAATTCTTCATTTCCCTATCCTTTTTCTCTTTCCAAATTTATTTTACTGGAATATGCTCCTTCAATAACATCTTCAATCCCTAATCTTTCGGATTACTGCTTATACTTTTACTAATTCTACCACTATGGGATTTAAATCGAGAACTTCATCTCTGTGCTAATGTGGTATGGCTACTCGAACTGTTGTACGTATGTACGAAGTTCTACGTTGTGACTGACTGATTTAGACGTCTTATATTGGCCTGTACTTTTCCTACCACTTTCGAAATCTTTTGTGCAACCAAAAGCGCTAATGAGCTGCTAATAAGTTCACCAGCGGAGAAACTTGGAATCTCTCTGTCCCCAAGTATGCTTCATCTGCATATATTAAGATGCAGGTATTGAAGATAGATACACTTTAGTGACACACATTGTGATAGATGGGCGTGGTTACTAGTTTGTTGATACATGTAGCTATAGAAAGCATAGACAAGTGCACACCTCTCATAATTACGTACAAACATAGAAGTTTCCGCTCCCAAGTATACGCTACGTGCATATACAGAATGCATAAGCCAGGCCACTCCGTAGTACACACATAGGCATAGATGCCAATACCCCAGGCTTCCAGAACTAGCATTTTCACTGAGTGAATATTGAGTATTTAAATCAGCATTGTAAGTCGTCATGGACGATGTGCTCACTTTACGCCCTCACCATATTTCGGTTTAGTGTCGATCATTGTGCACTGGTTATGGCAAAACTTATGGTCTACGTTCTGGTTCGCCGCTCCCAGACCTTATGGGCCCTTCCAGACTAGTTTGTACAGGTACTGAAAGGAAAGTCTTCCCTAATATCACAGCCACAAAGCCAATTCAAGTCAACCACTCTTCTTTTATAATCAAGATTTAGACAGAGTGGGTGATTAGTCCGATTCCTGTCTGACGGTGAAGTGGTTGGTCAGTCTGGTCTTCACTGTTCCGTTCGCGTTAGTTCATGGGGAGAAAGATCCCCCACTATTCAGAGGGCACAACGCGGAAGTGCAGGTCAGACTTTGACCTCGTAGTCAATTGACACGAACGAATTGATTTATGGTGTTGTTTTGATTGATTTATTTAGTCATTCACGTTCATATCTACTGAACTTTTGATTTAATTAATAAAGTGATTAGTGGAATATATGTATAATATAAAATGAATATAGTATATTAAGTTTGTATGGCTGATTTAATTTTATGTAGATGCGTAATCAATATGTAATAATGCCAATTATGTTGTGTCCTGAGTTATGTTATCAAACAACTACTTTGGTATATGGATGAGATGTTCTTTATTGTTCGACTATTTTTGGCATTGTAGTTCCATATAGTAATAACAATAATAATAGTAATCTTGATTCATGTTTGTAATTGTGAAAAACTTTTGGTAAACATAATTAAAACCGACTACGTGGTTCTTTGTTTGTTGTATCTATCTTTTAAATGAAATATAGTATACTATGTGGATCCTTTTAATGCAACTATATGGCTCATTGACAGGTTTCCACAACTTTGTTGCATACATTGTTTTACACAGGATTCTTAATTTTTTTTCGAATTCTTGTTCCGTCAAAAAGGTTTGTATGTGAGAGAGGGAGGGAGAGAGGTTACGCTTTAATTTAACTTCTTCGACTTTAAAATTAGCTGGTAAAAGCAGTAAATAATTTTTAAAAAGAACACTGAAGACACTTCAGCTGAACATCTGTATCCAAACATTCATTAACCATATGTGTATAGGGTTTTGTGTGACTAAAATCTACTTGATCAATTAATTAATTAGCTGTGACCACACTGGAATTCACAAATTTTTCTCCGTGATTTTTTGCTTGTTATATTTCCTGATTATTTCTACATGATGATCACATTCATATTACAATCATCAATGTCATTATTATAAACCTTTAGATTACTTAGTTAATTACCTTTATTTTAAAATGATTGCTTTGTTCTATATATTTTCATAAAGTTAATTTATCATTTATTTGTTCTGTCATTATCGCTACCATTACCATTATGATTATTGTTATTATTATTAATCAGTTTCTTCTTTTGTTTATTCATCTTAATTTAATAGATCTTATTTAGATTATATGCGTCATCTTATTTTCTATTGGTCCTATTGGGTCAGTTTAGCTGTTGTTCTTGTCACTGGAGTTGTATGGATTACATTATTCTGCTTAGGCTATATGATCTTAAGTTTCATCTATTTATGGATGGGACTGAATGTTTTGCTAAGAGAACGACCTAATCTAATCAACTCGTAAGCATTTATAATTATTAATTTTTGTTTCTATGTTTTATATATATAATCTGTCAGTTTTTTTAATAGTTCCTGTTAATTTCGTTCTATTTCAAATATACTTACGTTTTCCTTTGTTTGATGAATTGGACACTATCTAAATTACGTGTTTAGTGTGTTATAATTGATTTAAAATTCGGTTAAAGCAGACGGCTTGTATTTTTTTCTGATTACTGATTCGTTACTGAGCCTACCCTTTAATTGGGCATTTAAGTTTATGCAGTTAGTGAAATGTACTGTCATTTTCACTATACAACGTAGGTTTAATTCCCTCAGAGAGTATCAGGTGTCCGAATAATTTCAGAAATATCTTGTCGAGTATCGCTAACTGCTAGATGCTTCCAACTTCTTATTCTATATAAGTTTTGTCAATGGTAATGGATATACAATAGTTTAATGTAGACTGAAGCTAGCCGGTAATCTGATATGATAGAATGAAAAAAAATTGCACTGATTTTTATGATTATTAGTTATATATATGTATTTGTCTAAGATTAAATGTAACTACTAATCTTAAACTGTAAATCATAATTTATAGTTTTTTTCTTTGTAGATGGAATGTGATTATTGGATATAATTTTTGTGTTATTTTGGCCAAATGTAGTCTTCAACTTATGGGTTGTGTCTATCGTTCTCGAATGGCTAATCAATGTTGGCTTATACAGTTGTTCGGTGTTCAATGTATGAATCCATTATCATGGAATCATTTCAATCTACCTCGTATGTGATTGATTGTACAAATAAATTCAGTATTTTAACGTAAAGCGATTACAACCTGATAAACTTATATAAAATAATATTCATTTTTGAAAAATAAACTGATCAAAACAATTCAATAGTCTATTGTATACAGTACTAATCATACATACACGTTTCTGTATTTTAAAAAAAAGATCTTATTTGAGATTACTGAATTTTAATTCAATCGTATTTCGCTAATATTATACACATATTTTTTTTTACTAGAAACGATTAGATGATCTTGTATGTATGTGTGACATTATTCATCAATGGGATTTTGTTCCTTATACCTATATCAAACTATAACATAGAGATAACAAATTATAGTTTCTTCTTTAACAATAAAACTATATTGTTTAGATCTCCAAATAATATAAAATCTGACGATGAAACTTAATACATGATTGAATGGTCATTGACAACCACATTCACATTTTAACGATGAAGTGTTCACATTTCTCCAATAAGTTAATTAATATCGGCTACCGTACACTTAAGCTTTATAGTTTTCATTTGAAGCTGAATATATTTAACATTTTAATAGTCAGTGGATTATATATATATCAAATAAGATTTGTGTGTGTGAGGGCTATGATACTGCCTGGGTGCCCAAACTGAAGCAGGTGGTTTTCTTAGGGGGCCACACCCGGAGCCTTTGACCTAATGATCTGATCCATAAGGCAGTGGAGCATCGTGAGGAGATGCAGTCCCATGGTAGCCGGTGACCAACGATTGATTCATTCATCATTTGTTCCCTCAGGATACTGGAGCCCATGTGCACCATTGGTTTGGAATGAGGGTTTTCCAACTCCCCTAGGTGAACTTTCTGTGTCCACCAACCCGGTCAAAGTGCTGGACATTTTCTTTTCATCCTCTCAATTTTGTAAGCAACACCCCCGCCATGAGAAGGCAGTAAGTAGGACTTCCCTGTCAGAGGCTATATACTCGTGAGCGTGTGAGGGCATTTCGAGAGAGCGAACTCTCCCCCTAATAAAAGTTTGCATAACCAACTATTTGCATGTGATTGACAATTTCAATCCTAATATATATATAATTTAACAGTTTGATTCATGAGTCGATGTAAGCTAAAATACCATGGAAAACCTGGAAGCACTGGACCGCCGTTTCGTTGTATTATGGGACTCCTTAACATTCGCACGCGACACCGAAGGTCTTGGGCTCGAATCCCGCGTGCGGGATCATGGATTTGCACTGCTGAAGAGTCCCATACTAGGAAAGAACGGCCGTCCAGCACTTCCAGATTTTCCATGGTGGTCTATCTTAGATCGACTTATGAATTCATCTAATAAATTACTACAATTTCGAAAAACCCTCATTCTGATAATATATGTAATTCTAACTATTATCAATATTTTATTATCATCATTATCTATTCACCTTTTATTTCTTTAAAAAAAATATTTATCTCATTAGCTGGACATGAAACATCATGTGCTACTGTTTCAAGTGGTTTACATTGGGATATTGTATGCTTTATATTTATTATATTTCAACGAAAAGTGTTCACGTCACATAGTTTTAGTCATGTATTACTTGATTTACAAGTCCAAAGTCGATTTGCATCTCGGTAAGTTTTAATGTTGTGGTTGTTGTTTTTTCTCTCTCCACTCTTTTGACGGTTTATTGATTAGCCTTCAAGTAACAATAGTTTTCAGATTCTCAACTCTATATCACCTAATTCCTTTTGAGTTGTGTACCATTAATTCTCATACTAAAAATACGTATCTTGAATGCTAATTATACACAGCAAATGGTTTAGTTTATTTAATTTAATAACTTACATTAAAATTACAGTTTTGTTGTAAATTCCTACGCATTAATAATTAGAGGGACTTAATTTTTGAAAAGAGAAACACTATACCAGTTAGAATGAAATAATTACTGATAAGCAATTATATCACTTTTGATTTTGATGAATTACATTGGTTGCAGTTTTCTTCTGAACTGAATATGCTTTTTTTCCACATGACAATTAACCGTTACAGACGAATGTCACGAGGTCTTTTATGCTTGTTCTGATCCTACTCTTCTTCCTACTATTTGATTCTTTTCTTAGTGGTGCTTACCTAATAAACCGTAAATTAATGTTAGCTATTCATGAACAAGCTATGGAAGAACAATATAATTTGGCAAAAGTACAACAGAAACTCAATCTTATTCAACAACGTCAAGAAGCATTTGGACGTAGTAATGCTAATATTACTGAACATTATATAAGTAAGATTACTTTTTCTTTATGTTTGTTGTATTTATAAAATTTTGACGTAAATCTGATCCTTTTTTGAGGTATTAATTCCTCTACTTACTCAGTTACTTACGCCTGTTATCTCTTGTGGAAGAGCCTAAGCCGCCCATCAGGATTTTCCAACCAATTCTGTTCTGTGCTCTTCTTTTTCAGTTGTTTCCAAATGTTATTGATTCTTTTCATCTTTGCCTCCAATTCCCGTGGTAATAATGTATTCTTTGGTCTATCTCTTCCTTTCACCTTCACGATTCCAAGTTAGATTTTGCAGTTTTATGATTTCCACAATGTATTTCCTACCCATCTCCAGGGTCTTTCCTTAATTTCCTCTTAAGTTGGAGACTGATTTTCTCTCTACCATAGTAGGTTGTTACTGTTGGTATCCGACCAACCGACAGTGAGTATCTTGCGCAGACAATTGCTTATAAATACTTGCACTTTTTTGATGATGCCTGTGGTTCTCCAAGTTTCTTCTAATCGTGCAACACATAATCTTTTAATCGTTTCATGGCTTCTCGTATGAATATGCTTTAGTTTACTCTTCAGTATTTATTTGACGTTTAAATCCAGCCTATAGTTGTTTTTTTGTTCATCTAAAATTCTGATGTGCCATCATCCAGTAACAATGCACAGATTTATGTATACTGTTTTTTAAGTCATACTGTGGTGTGGGTTGCTTACATCCACATAAGTAGCATATGATGATGGTCAGACAGAAAATTTATTTCACTAGAAGATCGATAACGAGCTAACGGAAACGAAACGCAGTTTGTATGAAAATGCATGAATAATAATAATCAGAGACTATGGACTGATATTTGCAGAAGGAATGGTCAAGATTGAGACAATTGATTGATAGTTTGCAAATTAACTGTTTACTGTATGGTGTCAGATGTTAGTGAGATATTCTGTAATTTTCGTATCAAATACATTCGATTGTCGCCACTCATCTTCTTGTTCACTACAATACTTTACGTCATCCACTCAAGTCATACACCAGAGTAATTTTTTAAGCGTTGAACTATCTCAGTCACTAATTTGCACATATGTATATTGGTTCAATTTATTACACCATATCAGCTTTTCTAGATAAATTTATCAAGACAAATATCAGGGTAGTAGTATTAACGGTGTCAGTAGATGCAAGATAGATTGAACATACACAATATTATTTAAATAGAAAGAACGAATCCACAGCATTGAAAGTATGAGATAATTTTAAATCTCATGGTCTGGAGGAAGATAGAGGGTGAATGCACTTGCACCATTGTGATTGATTCTAAGCCATATCACACAACTCCAACCATCTATCACGATGGTTTAGCGGACCCTATCTGGGTTGTCTACCCTTACGACCATGGTTTACACAAACATCTACATTTACTCATTATTCTACATCTAATATCAGCATTGCTCACTCGGTTGTCCCAAAACACACAGCTAATGCTACCGTATTAGAGGAACTATAAAATCTAGATAACATTGTCTGGTCGGTTCTTCTACATTACAAAGTACTAGTACTTTTTAACCATATTTTTGGTGTACTGTAAATCGTATGATACAACATTTATAGGAAACATGATTGTTCATGATAAAATTCATTCTTCATATCTGTTCAGAACACATGTATGGGTAACCACTTCGTAAAGACCATTGTAAATCTTTATACATTTAATCAGTCAGTCAGCGACAACGTAGGACCAGGCACATATATGCATCTGTCCAAGTTGCCATATCTCATTAGCACAACAAGATCAACACTAAATTCGTAGGAGTAGTTAATTTAGTGATGGTAATATATAAGAGAGAAATTGTATATAAGGATATGGTCGAGGAAGAAAGACATATCAAGCAATTTTAATCTCACGGCTTAAGGGAAGATAAAGAGTGTATACACCATTGTGATCGATTCTGAGTCTCTAACCAACAATTACGATAGTCACACGGACACCAACCAAGTAGTCTGCATCCACCAACATGGCTGAAACTAGACGTTAGTGACTTCAAGCACTGATGCAACATTTTGGTTTGGCTGCCACTAACTCTCTTCCAACCATTACCAATACTACTCAGCATAGCACGTCGTGGTGATCGGTGTTCAGGCATACGTAACACGTGGCTCAGCCATCTCAGTCGATGAAGATTCATGACTTCATCAACTGATTTACCATCATTCCCTAACACACTGTGTCCAACCTCACGACTACCTACCCAGTGATCCCAGCAGATGCGAGCAATGTTTCTAAGGCATCTGTGGTCAAATACTAGTAACTTACGAGTATCCTTTACTTTGAAAGACCACATTTCACATCCTTAAAGTAGAACAGAGTGAACCGCTGTGCAGTATACTCGTCCTTTAATTGATAGACGGATATCTCGTCTTCTCCGTAGGTGACGTAAGTTGGCAAAAGCCAAACGAATTTTATGAATCCATGCAGAGATTTCGTCAGACACCAACCCATTAGGGCTGATGAAACTTCCAAGATAAGTGTTGTCAACGCGTTCGACTACTTTGCTCCCTATCCTTAGTTCAGGTGTTGACGCAGACCAGTCCTAGAGTAATAGTTTACATTAAGAGATAAATAATAATAATAAAAATAAACATATAAAATAAATAAACAAATAAACGTTTACCTCATCATTCAATAATGGAACACAGATATCCTTGTGAATTGATCTCATCCGTGTAATAGTGAAGTGTATTCACATCGAAATTTTAAACTGTAACTCATCAAGTTCGTGTTCATACAATCAACTGTGAACTGCATATTTGTGTGTACGTATGTTTGGGGGTTGGGTTTCAAACATTTAATGACTACTGAGCTACGTCTGCAGTAAAAATCAGTTTGTTTTTTTTAATGTTCCATACTTATCAAATATAGCTTATTGCATAGTTTTCAGGTCATCTTCTAACTTTCAAGCTAGTCTTATTATCACACATGAATATCTTTTGATGATTTCATTCATAGTTAACAATTCTGCTCAATGCACATGCTTTGTTTCTATTTGCACACCATAAGCATACATTGAATATAAACGGAAATGTGTTGAATGTACTGTTCTGGATTGTTGTTTACTATAGTTAATTAAGACCAAAATCCACCGGTTGCGTATCACTTACTTGTATTAGTTATTTGGTCAATTTATTTGTCTTTTATACTTTCTTTTATTGTGGGGCAGTTGTTTCTTAATATCGTATAGTGTTTATTCGATTTTGTTGTCATTGTTATTTTAGTGCTTCGTTCAGGTGATTACTATCTGTTTGAAGGTGATCCAGAAGAGGATGATGATTTTGTCAACCGTCAAACACATATAACTGGAAATGATAGTGATCACTCGGATAAAGATAATTCTAGTCCACCACCACTAGTGTCACGTTTACGCGAGAGTAAACATAACTTAAGATTACAAAAAACAGCTATCAGTGAAGAGATTGACAAACAAACCACTATTTCAAATAATCATACTAAATCTCAAGTTACTTTAGTTCCAAACGGAAAGAATTACTTACGAGATATTTGGCCAAGTATAGATCCGAATATTTTAGATGTTCTATCTAATTATAATGATCCTTATAGTACTATCAGGTCAGCCCAATATTTGTTTCATTCGGTCATTCAATGTTGATTTTTTTTCCTTCAAAAAGTAAATATCTGAAAGTTATTTGTTCAACAGTACCAAATTTTAAAATCTCGCATTTTATTTCTGTTATATCTTATGGCCGAGTGTACGCCTTGTTAATGTGTGACGTGCTAAGGTCGCCAATTAGAGAGCGGCAAATTATCGATTGGAACAGTGACACACGAAAACCGTCTAGAGTGCTGACTGGTCCTGCTTCTGCCTAGTTCAGCCAGTTAAGTCCAGAACACCAATAACAGCCTCTGTGGTATGAATCATTGTATTTCAAACATACTGAGTATATATACCAAACAGACTGACCACATCGTATCAATGAAATAGAAAATAACATTTGTACAAGAGTTAGTCAAATGTGGCTGTGAATAGGGGGAGCAGTAATTATTAGACTGGGTATAACTCAGGAATGGTAAATCGTACAATAATAGTCCAAGGGTCAAAATAAGGCTCATAATGAAAGAACATGATTATGAGTAGTTTAATTATTTAGCACATATACGATAAAAATTATATGCATAATATTGGTCCATAAATGTATCCTAAAGTTACCATTCACTATTGTTATCGGGGCATAACAATTTCATCACTCTACTGAGTTCGATAAATTTCGTTATGTATAATTACTTTTTAGTATACGTATTATTAGTGACTTCATAAAGTTGTGTAATAAGAGATGTACTTTAGACTAGGTAATCAGTCAACTGTGTCCAAGTAACTGGGAGATAGTAATATCGATTGATTTGATAGGAACATTTTAACTGCTTTAAATACAAATTTCTTTATTATTTCGTTGCATATTTTCACTAAGAATCTCTATAATGTCGCGCTTACTATATTTATCAGTGGAACATCATGAGAATGTTGACTATTGATGGATAATATGGTCTCTTGTCTAGTTAATATCATTGGTTGATTGGTGGAAAGTTGTGTAATGTTGTCAGCAACCATGTCTGGTTGGTTATTAGTGTAGATCGCTGCTATATTACCATCGGTGCGTAATTCTTTATCAGTTATTTTTAAATTTTTAATTAGCGCTCAACATATACTTTATTCTGTAACCAATTTATTTTTCAACTACTTACTTTTCTAAATGCTTTTCGAATGAGTTCGGTGATTCCAGTAATTCTGTTTGAGAGTCAAGTTGGTATATAAATAGTGACAATGATAAACTTATTTGATAACTCGTATGTTTCTGCTTAGGATCTACAGTTACCTATTCTTTCTCACCGAATATTATTACTTTTTTTAAAAACTGTTTTAAACGACACTCAATGAATGAAGTTGTTTGTGATTAAGAAGATCAGAGTTTAGGTAATTTCATGCAAATAATTATTCTCACCCATCATTCAAACCTAAATATATATTTTTTCATTAGTTTATCTGAAAACACTTTACACTCACTTTAAATTCTACTTATTGTTATTCCTTTAGTTTTAGTGATGAACTCCGTCGCGTTCGCCCAACATCTCACAGTAGGAATGCTCTTGATTCAGACCGCTATTATGAACATCCTAAGTATTTTGAAATGCATCAAGATCGTCCTCACTCTGGATTTGTCTTAGGACATCGTCGTATGCGATCTCATCCTGAGTTTTTACGTCAACATTTTGGTGGAAACGAAAAAAGTTCCGTTGTATCTATAGAATCAGATGAACCTAAGGCTTCAGATAGTAAAAATCTAGCTTTACATCCCAGTCAAACATCATCTGACAAATTTGCTCATCGGTTCACTGAACGTCGAGATCAGAATCCACTCACTCTACACCATCGACCTTATGAAACTCATAGACGATTATTTTCAGCATCTGGAGCTATCTTCCCCACTAAAGATCGTCCTAGTAGTCCTGAAAAGAGCACGGTTGTCAAAAGTACGGTCCGAAGCCATAGGAGAACACCGAAATCGTCATTATCTAAACCAAGTCCTCCTAAGGTACATATTGATGCTTCTGTTGTCATTTCTGAATATTTGGAGCTTTACTATCTTTATTATCCTACCTAATAAAAGTTTTTCCATATTTTTATCATAACAGTCTAATGGTGTGCTTGTTTACCCATGGATTCACTTATTTAGATACTTGATCAAAAAATTATGGATACACTTTTACTGGACTTATTCATTTAAATTTTACTTTTATGATTTTGTATTTAGTGACTAAGGTACTATTGCTTGAACATTAGCGCTTTAAATTTCGTAAATACCTTGAATGGTTTATTTTGTTTGCGTTATTTTGTATTCCAATAAAATCCCATTTTAGCTGTAATTCGCTAAATTTCATTTTTACTATCATTCTGTCATTAATGAATGTCCATCGATGCCACTGGTTTCTCTGTGTTATGAACTACAATAAGGTAAATGAAACAAATCAAATGGTAATGCTTTTATTGTGAGATTTTTGAAAGGCCTACCATTCCAATCCTGTATAATTTTCAATGTCTCAGCTCTTGGAGAATGAGTTCTAAAATACAATAAAATCACTCTCCGTCGCTTCATGATTTGGACTAAATATTCACTTTGATACTAGTCCATCGTATCGATCGCTTTGAAGATACTAATAGAATGAATTTGTGAGAAAATTAGATCACATCAAATTTTTTGATTAAAGTTGCGTGAATTAAGGTTAAAACATAGTTTATATTTATAGTCCTGCTTCCCAGGTTTTTGTTTATCTTCGTTTTTTTACACCATTTGAATTTTGTTCATAAAAAGTATTATTTTGACTTATTTAGACACAAACATTGGTACAAGGAGGCTTCTAATATATATATATATATATATATATATATATATATATATATATACATACCACACTTCGTCATTCGATTTGTGTGAGATCTGAAATACTGCCCAAACACTCAGACATAAAGCAGGTGGTTTTCTTAGGCGGCCACTCCACTAACCTCCGATCTAGAGATCTAATCCACATGGCATTGGAGGGGCGTTAGGAGATGCAGTCTAATGGTAGCCGGTGACTAACAATTGATTCATACGCTATTCGTTCCCTCAGGATTCTGAAGCCTATGAGCGCCATTGGTTCGGAATCAGGGTTTCCAAACTCCTCGAGGTGGACTTTCAGTGTCCTCCAACCCGGTTAAAGCACTGGACATTCGCTTTTCGTCTTCTTAATTTCGTAACCAACATTCCAGCTGCAAAAAGGCAATGAATAAGGCTTCCCTGCCAGTGGTTGTGTACGCATGGCCATGTGAGAGCATTTCGAGAAGTATTGCTAACTCTCCCCACCTTCAACCGTGCCATGGCATTTGCGGGTTTTCATAAAAAAGAGGGGTTAGTACATTAGCGAGTGAAAAGAAATTCATCTCGACAGCTGTTTATATTATTCTGTACTGTTTTACGGTGTACAGTTTTTAAGTTAAAGTAGTTGTAAGAAATCCCTAGTCTTGCTGAATTTAAAAATATGGATTTTTTATTTCTAAATGGCTATTAAAGAATTGTAAGATATTACTGTCAAAATTTATGCATAAACAGAATAGATTCCTTTTTATTATGATAATGTGTTTAGTGTTTTTTTTCTGTCCGCGATCGCTTTGAATTTGTCGAATTATTTATCCCTCCATTGTTTTTTTTAATTTACTATCGGTCCTTCATTTGACCGTATTTAATTAATATAAATATCCTGTGTTTTTATCATAGGCTCATGAAACTTCTCATATTGAATACCCTATTATTGCAAATAAGATAACAGAGGGAAATAATAGTAGGGAGGGTAATTCTGAGAAAGTTTCTACAGTGACGGATAGCAGTGAAATCGTCGAGTCTCGTTTTACTGGAACTCATCCTCATAACATAATCACTAAAGCCCCACAGTCTGAGTCTGAACATACTAACGATCAAAAGAATTTCAGTTATTCATATTTCGATGATGGTCAAGAAGCAGATAAAAATAGTGATGAAGATGATGATGCTAATCCTCCATTAACTGCTAATTCTAGATTAAATCCCATTCAACTGTTGAATAGAGCCATGGAACTTGGTGCTCTTTCAACTGTGAAACAGTATAGACGCAATTTATATACCCATTCTCATGATGGCATACGTCAACGGGAACAGATTGATAATATTACATGTAATATATCTACTGGAAGTCAAGAAGGTTCATCAGTCGATCAAATGACACAACCTGTAGGTTAAATGTTTTGTTTTAAAGTGGTTACTCTATACATTTGTAATTGTTTAAAGTGTTTTTCCATTAAAATAAGCTGTACATGATGGCATAAATTACTTTTGATTCACTTGCTTTTTGTTGTTCCATAAGTTTCTTATACTTTTGATGGCGTTGAGTCCTCCGAACTGGATGGTTTAATTGTCTACTTATCGTCTACATGAAGTAGGCGCTAAAGATGTTATTCAGGATGACAATGGATGCTTTACAACCAGAATATCTAAGTTAGAGAACCAAACACCATCATTCATCTCAGCTACAAATTTTCTCCATCATTTTTTGTACTAAGTAGGAGATTTAACCAAATAAGTCAACTATTCTTTTTTGTGTACATTTATTATCACCGCGTAATTTCTGTTGTTGTTTTACACTAAAAAATTATCAGTAACATGTTTAAGTTCTCATGAACTAAGTACTCTTGTTTAATTTTAGACTGAAAAAAGAAGTTGAACTGGAGTTTGCAATTTTTGCTTTTTGATAAATGTGATCTTGTAATTACTCTAAGGAGCGATTTCTATACATAATCCAGTAGCTCAAAAAGCCGTTTTATCTTTTGAGTATGAATGAAGGGATTTGTGAAATAATATGATTTCTGATTTATTAAAATTGATAAACTTCAAGATACAATGGCATGTATGTAAGAATAATGCTGTAAATGTTATTTTTGGAATAAGTAAACATTTTATCGTCTAGAGGTTATGCATTTGCGCGTGAGGCCGAAGGTCCTGGGTTTGACTTCTGCGTGCGGGATCGTGGATACACATTGCTGAGCAGTTCCATACTAGGACGAAACAACCTTCCAGTGCTTCCAGGTTTCCAGTGGTGGTCTAGCTTATATTTACTCATGAATTCAACTATTAAAACGTTTTATTGCTTAACAATGCGTGTTTGCTTAACGTTATATTCTTCTATAAAGCAAGTAGTTTTTTTTAATCACACACTTTGTTGTTTTTACGCTCTCAAAATGTTAGTTTATTTGAAGGAACTCATAACACTACTAAATTTCTAAGTTTTATATATGCTTGATTATTTCAGATAAGTACATTTTCTAACATAATTTGTAACTTTTACAAACTATTGATTATGCATACAATCTAATTTATAACCTTTACTTTTAGTCATCCAATAGGCATCAGATCAGTACAGATTCTTTTCACATTCATCCACCTAAAAATACAAATTATCCTAATCAAACTAAAGAACGTAGACGAAACGGTCGTTTTCCATCGAAATTTGGTATAAAGAAACTTAGTGTGCCTGATATTCATTCTGGTTCAAGACAACAGCATGAAGTTCATTTTTCCGATAGATTATGCAAAAAATACTATTCTCCATTGACGGAAAAAGATGTAAATGTTAGTGAATATTGTTGTTTTGATCCTCATAATTATTTTGAACAAACCATCAAAAATAAAGCTAATTTATATTCTGTTCATCCGTTGAATTCATCATTCACTGGAAATAATGATGTAGTCGACGCTAAAGTCATAAACAAAGAACGAAATAAATGTCTCTTAAATGGTAAATCGGAATTTAATAATATTATGAATGTTAATACTGGAAGAAAATCCCATTTTAATCCATCAACTTCGAAGCAAACAGAAGATACCAAACTAAACACTATTCTTTTGAATCAATCAAATAATCATACTCCATCTTATGCTATTATGGATAAACAAATTGCTGAAGATAATCAGATAACTGTATTTGAAAAACCAATTAAAACTTCCCTCTCATCATCTCGACCGTTTGATGATAATAATGGGTCATATGATATAAATGATAATGACAAATTACGAAAAGATTCTGTCCATCAACGTGAGTTTTTTCTACTTCTCAATTTTGATGTTATCATAAAATACTAAGATGACGTTGTATGTTTCGTCGTTATTTCGTATACTAGTATTCGACTTTTTTTAAACTTATTTTCGTACTCATACTTTGACTAGGATTTATAAAATAGGTTAACGCTCAACATATATTGTAATACACTTTCAAATGAAAATATCATAATTCATAGACTGTAGAGTGACTAATTATGTAGCTTATTCCGTACGCTTTAAACTCGTATCATTCCTTTGATTTCATTGACTATCTGCTGTTTACACCAAGTCATAATGGATGGCTAGTATTAATGTATGCTCATTCAATAGTTCTTGTATTAAGCGAATTTTATTTTCTCTTTCCAAGTAGACCATACTACATTTTCTCATAGTCTACATTTCTAAAATAAACCAGATAAATATTAAGCAATACTGTTTCATGCAGTAAATTTCTTATTTGAACTACAAATCTTTCAGAAATATCATGATTTTAATTTTCAACTTATTTATATCAGTCACAGGCATCACTTTTGTTATCTATCATCTTTACGTAATTTATTGGTTATAATAATTACATGAAACTTTCGACTTTGAACGTAGTTCTCGAATTATTTTATTTACCTCGTTATCTGCTACAGGTTGAATATTACTAACGCGGGGTTGTTATAGGTTAAATGTCATTTGTTCTCTCATTATCTTTGCTTATTCCTAATTACGTACATTTATTTTATAGTTATGTATTGTTTTTATCCTTTTCAGATGCTGAGGGCTGTTGGAGCAAGTTTAAAGCTTCTTGCTTAATAGCATATATGTTTTTCTTGAGTTCTGTGGATAGTTTAATAAGATTTTTAAATGGTCTAACTCGTCAATATCGTCGTATTCGCAGAACTATTGACCAAGAAAAACGTTTAGTTAAACGTCGAGTTATTTCATATCTTCCATCCACAAATGAACAATTAAGGTAAACAGTTTTGATTAAAATATTCATTTAATAATGACGCTGTTGTATCTTGTGAATCGTTGTCATATTTTTTTCTGATCTGATAGTTATACTGTATATCTTCATTCTTTGAGGACCTCATACTGCCTACGTCTTTTTATTAAGTTTTAGCCCATGTATGCAACAAGTCTTCGATAATTTTTATCCGTTCATGTTTCCTTGCTAGCTGTTGATATTATCTTACTGGTTTTTCCATACTTTAGTATCTCTGTTTTCTCTTGAGGTTTACTCTGTCGCTATGTCAACAGACGTGTCTTTTTACAATTTTGACTCCTGTGATTATCACACTCTTTCTTGAGTTCCTGATTTCACTTTCTACCATAATGCAGGAAATTATTATTGAATTGATGCATATTAGTTATCAGGTTGATTTTGTTCATATCCCGTTATTTACTAAAAGAATTTCGTAGTAGTATGTAATTTCGATTACCGCAGACTGTTCTCAAACATAACACTTGTGTTATTCATGTTCCATACAAAGAACTTTATTTTTCTTAAAAATTTATTTATTTATTTGAACACATAAATATTGGTACAAAAAGGCACCAAATATACATACGCCACACAAATCTCATTTGATTTGTGTGAGTGCTGTGATACTGCCCGGGTACCCAAACCGAAGCAGGTGGTTTTCTTAGGGGGCTACACCCGGAACCTTTGATCAAAAGATTTGATCCACAAGGCAGTGGAGCATCGTAAGGAGATGTAGTCCCATGGTAGCCGGTGACCAACGATTGATTCATACACCATTTTTTCCCTCAGGATACTGGAGCCCATGTGCACCATTGGTTTGGAATGAGGGTTTTCCAACTCCCCTATGTGAACTTTCTGTGTCCACCAACCCGGTCAAAGTGCTGGACATTTTCTTTTCATCCTCTCAATTTTGTAAGCAACACCCCCGCCATGAGAAGGCAGTAAGTAGGACTTCCCTGTCAGAGGCTGTATACGCGTAGCCATACTATATAAACCATAATTCAACTGAACAACTAGAAATATGATACAAGTAAAAGAAAAAAATGAAATGAAGATAAAATATATGACCTAATATTTGAAATGCTAATCTTTTCTTATCAATTCATCTAACGTCTTAATATCATTTATATTATTGTGTTTCTAAAATCTCAAAATGTCTAGGAGTAAATGTTAAGCATTCAATTTAATCTCTTCATATATATATCCTATTTGTTTATTTTATTTCAATGTATTGATGAATTATTCTTGTATTAAATGAATCATTTTACAATTCCACTAAAATCTATTTCAGTTTTCTTGGTCCAACTCTTTTTCTTTTTTTTTATTTAGAAATAAATTAAAATCATCATCATTAAATAATAATAATAATAATGATTACGTAACGCAATTCAATACTGATTTACATATATCTAACAGCAAGATAGATAATATTTCCTATTTATCTTTTCCATTACAAACTACATCTTTCACTTCTTGTTTTTCAACTATTCCAACAAACCAATGGAGATATAATAAAATAAGAGAAAATTATCTAAAATTTTGTAATTGTTTATCTAGTTATTTAATTTGTTCATGTTTTAAATTGCCTAAAAATCAGTAGGTTTCATTATTCATTTAATATTGTTTCGAGTTTGGTTGTTTTTATTCCCTCTTTAAAATGTATTAGTTAGTTAGTTAGTTGAATTTTTGTTTGTTCGTAAACGATTTCTTTTTATGGGGGTTTTGTGGAGATTTTTTTAGTAATTATTTATATAGTTGAAATCATGAGTCAATTGAAGTTAGACTACCATGGAAAACCTGGAAGCACTGGACGGTCGTTTCGTCTTATTATGGAACTCCTCAGTAGTGCTTCCAGATTTTCCATGGTAGTCTGGCTTCAATTGAATCATAATTTCAACTATATATAAAAATTACTAAAAATATCCACGAAACCCCTTACTAATAATGATCATATGCTCACTAATGACTGGCTCCACGAGGTATTTCCTGGAGTTCTAGTGAGAAGCAGTAACCATTGGAGTTCAACCAGGTCTATTGAGAGATATCAACTCACTTAAGACATTGGTGAATGGTTGCTCAACTTCGTGGATTGATTGAAGTTAGACATTAACACCGTTGGATGCCGGCTCAGTGGTCTATCGGCCAAGTGCTCGCGCTCGAGACTGGTAGGTCCTGGGTTCGAATTCCGCGGAGTGGGATCGTGAATGCGCACTGCTGAGGAGTCCCACAGTAGGACGAAACGGCTGTCCAGTGCTTCCAGGTTTTCGATGGTGGTCTGGCTTCAATTGACTCATGATTTCAACTCTATAAAAATTCCATTTATCATTGGAAAAAAACAACTTTCATTCAGTTTATTAATTTTATTCTATTGTTTATTATATTTGTAGAGCACATCTGGAATCAGCTGCTTTAGAAATTATCTCTACAACACCGGAACGTCAACTATCTTTATTTAATCCTCAACTTATTGAAAGAAATATACAAAATAATGATAAACGATCGAATGACACAATGAATCCTTATTTAATACGAGATAATTCATTAGATGATTTGGATAATAATACTCCTATGACAGATTTACAAGATCATGAACGTGAAAAAGCTTTTCGTCAATCACGTTCTTATGGATTTTTATTGTTAATAGCTGTTGGAAATTTAGCTATTGTTTATTCGGAATTATTTTGTTATTTTCTTTTAATATTTAATCATATGCATTCAGCATCATTATTGTCACTACCTTATCCATTAATGGTATTACTATGGGGTATGTTGTCTGTACCACGTCCAACAAAAACATTTTGGATATTTTTAATCACTTACACTGAGGTAAACATACTTTATATTTATATATATATTTATAATGAGAAAGGATAATATCTTTCTTGGATTATGTTTGACGCTTTAATCGGATTTATTTATACTGCTACTCATTAGTTTCTATTATTTATTTATATTTTACCATGATGGGTAGTAGTTGCGTGTAATGACTAACAGCTTTTAAAATGATACTATTGGTCGATGATATGTAGTTCTTTTTTACTGAATAATCATTATTATTTTCGTCATCATTTACCGTTTCTGGCATTTCATATTCATCGTTTAAGTTTGTTTTAAGAATTTCCTCAAATAACAATTATCTATTATTTTAATGATTTATATTTACGCTTTAATATTGATAATCTCAATTGATCAATCTTTGTTGGCCCCCAAATGCCCTGATTCGGCCAAGAGTGGGGAGAGTCCGCTCTCCCTCTCGAAATGCTCTCATATGGTTACGCGTATACAGCCTCTGCCAAGGAAGTCCTATCCACTGCCTTCGTTGTTTAAGAAATTGAGAGGATGAAAAGAAAATGTCCAGCACTTTGACCGGGTTGGTGGACACAGAAAGTTCACATAGGGGAGTTGGAAAACCCTCATTCCAAACCAATGGTGCACATGGGCTCCAGTATCCTGAGGGAAAAAATGGTGTATGAATCAATCGTTGGTCACCGGCTACCATGGGACTACATCTCCTTACGATGCTCCACTGCCTTGTGGATCAAATCTTTTGGTCAAAGGTTCCGGGTGTGGCCCCCTAAGAAAACCACCTGCTTCGGTTTGGGTATCCGGGCAGTATCACAGCACTCACACAAATCAAATGAGATTTGTGTGGCGTATGTATATTTGGTGCCTCTTTGTACCAATATTTATGTGTTCAAATAAATATATAAATAAAAAATATTTGTTGACATATGTGATTTCTGTAGAAATCGCCTTGATATTGCCATTTGGTTATGAGCTTTTATTACAGTTGGAGAGTAGCTAACAGTTGAATTTGGGATAGGTGTTTTGTCGTGTTTCGAACTCGTCCCCCGGACGAGGATGATATACATGATTTATATATTACTATGGTTTTTAGGGCAAAACTACTTTGGAATCTATTCTGAATTTGATCCGTTCTACAATTTGTTGTAAAATTTCTACCAAGCTATAACATATATACACGATAATAATCTTTAAAATGACATCTGAAGTGGGAAAAAAGAAATTTCTGCCAAAGCCACGTGGATTCACATAAATAGTGATTTAGATGACTTTAAGTTCTCACTACATCATCATCGTCGTCTTGAGTAATCAATATTGTATATGCTTTTGTGAGAGAGAGTGTCAGTATATGACATGGTGTCGTGGCATGAAAGAAAGCTGCTAAGGGCTAGCTTGTGTTGGTCTTTCACGACTCCCTGGCTGGGGTCCGAGAGATGGTGCAACACAGTGGCTAGAGACGTTATCAGATATGGCTCAGAATAGAAGTCAGTGGCGATCCTGCTGCAACCTTCTTTTACTTTCTACATAAAGAGTGGTTCTAACTTTCTTAACTGAAAGAGTCTTCTGATTATACATTTCAGTCCACCTTATCTTTTCATCCCTTCTCTTCCTACTTTCATTATTTTGTGTGGCGCATATGTATCTGGTGCCCTTTTGTACCAATATATATGTGTTTAAATAAATAAAAATAAATAAATGCTTTTGTGATCCAGACTGTATTCTTTCAAATCGGAGTTACTAATGCTGTGAATTCTAAGCAGTACTTGATAGTCAAATACTTTAACTTTATCCCATTGCTGATGTTTGGACTGGATTTTGATCAGTTTCAGTTTGTATTGATAGATCATATATGGATCTCTTCGATATAGCCATTATAACAGTTGTATGTAAAAGAGATGGAATACGGCTAGCAATGGAATCCAATACACACGTCTTGTTCTATTTCGGATTCAAGTTCATCCACCTAATGAGTCTCAATTATAATAAAATAAACGTCCCGGATTTTAATGCTAGCCGCATTCCACACCTTTGATGTACATTCGTTACTTTTATAGTTCTTGATAGTTTATTCTACTTATTGTTCTTTCGAAGTAGACTTTATTATTACTATTATTCGAATTCATTTCTTTTATTTAATATCTTTCCTTATTCTTTTTTTCTGCACTGTAGATTGTTATTGTAATAAAGTATATATTTCAATTTAAATTCTTCCATTTCAATGATGCTATATTAAGACCAACGGAATCAGCTGAACCATTATGGCTACCTCGTATAATTGGTATAAATAAAAATGATGATTATGCTGTATTTGATTTAGTACAATTAATTAGTTTATTCTTACATAGAGGATATTTAAAAAATAATGGTCTTTGGCGTGATGACACTGAATTCACACATGACCTTGAATTAATTGTACAAGAGAACAAAGCAGCGGTAAGTAGTAGTAGTGGTGACCTTATGTCTGTTTTTATTTCTCTAACGTTTAAAGTACATTTTTATTATCAATATAATCAATGTACTTTTGATATTAAGCATAAAATTATGGTAAATATATGATGAATGAAGTAAGATTATTCTTTCAGTTAATACTTTATTGTATTTTGTCAAGTTAATGGCCTATGTCAAGTGTTATCTCTCTCAACATATTTCTCCTAGTCTCCTGTGATCCATTTATAAGTATCTGAGATGAATTTAAAAAGAACAGTATTCCATTCTATTCTTACGATATGAAGATTTCCGTACTATCCTTTCTTCCCTATGAGTTATATGATACAAATGTAGGAAAATTATTGTAGAAATAGTCTTTGGATAGCAATGGTCTAACGATTGAAAACACTCAATTTTCAGGTGCCAATTCCATTTAGCCTATTTCACTTATAGTTCTAACCAAATACATAAACTTGTTATTGGCCAAAAGCTACATTGATTCATTATTGAAAATATAGCAACACGTCCATAAAAACTATTGTTATTCCATTTTAAGTAATAATCATATCGACCAACATAATGAAGTGAATGATATAATCTGTGACTAACGATCAGTTTCTAATGTCGTTTATTATTTTTCTCATAGATGCTTATTTCTCTTTGTATATTGGTTTGTTACTTGTTTTCAATGATTGTTGAAAGGTTTGAAAATTGAAATCCTTCAGGTTATATCTTATTGGTGTAATGTTTTATAAACATTCAGTAATTCACCCTTAGCAGATAAATTCTAGTATACACTGTCTTTAAATCTGAGATGAGGTAGACTAAAGGATTCAATATCAATTTCATTGGCAACCTTCAAGGTTCTAAGCAAATACATCATATTCTTTTTTGAATAATTAAGGCAAATAATGTGTAAGAATAAATAATGTCAGAGAGTCGATAAATCAATTTCTTCATATTAGCTCCACTATAACAGATTTATATTGTATTAAGTGCGATACATTACCGAATTATATAACAATAAAATAGGGTGAAACAGAAATGTTCATTGTTTTTCCTGAATTTTTAACGATTCTCTAACTGATATCAATCCATCCTAATCCAATTGAATAAGTATTTTATTTTTTAAAACTAATATAATGTTTACATAGTGAACCAAGGTGATTTGTTATCATACAACCATTGTTATTAATATAATTATCATTACATTATCTGTATTTATCAAGAGGGATTACCTGTTTTGAAGGAAAATGTTTATCATTCTCTGTCTACATATGGGAATTTTCGATTTTTATAAATAATTATGTCCAGTTCTGATTTGGTAATATGTTGTCTGTGTGATTATATATGTTCTACTTGATTAGTCTAGTTTCTCTTTTTTTTCTTGCACAATTAATCTAATCTGTTTTCTTTTTACCATTACTACTTATTAGCAGTTATCTTGTTCAAAGCAGGGAACAAGGTGAGCATTTATATATTTCTATTTTTCCTGTAAAGGGTAAAATTGAATTTATGGGTTGATCATGTAGTTTAGTTCAGCATGTCATCGTAAATGGCAAAATAAAATTGTAGTTTTTTTGTGGTAGACTAACGATTCAGTTAGTCATAATATAGGTGGAGCTCAAGCTGCCATACAAATTAGCATAAAGAGATGAAATTGACAAGGTGCATAGAAAAGCTGACAAAATAATTGTAGTGACAATTATGATGCGAAAGACTAAGGATTAAGAATATAGTTCGAGATAACGGAATGAAGCTACATATATGAAGAAGTACTGGAGTCAAAGATTTAGAGTGAATTCGTGTTGCGATTGCATTTGGTTCCAAACGATGTCATTTAAACTTTCCGATCACTGATATCGGTTATCACTTGGACCCCGACCGGGTAGTTTTCACCTAACAATATGACTTAGACTAACAGCCAGTGACTCCTTGAACTAATGCTATGTCTCGCTTTGTCTCCCTACCTTTCTTCCAAGCTACTCCTACACCAGCAAGCATCTCACATTGATGTAGGTTGTCATTTAGGAGTCTGTTAATATTTACAATCTTGATAACTGATTTATCGTATTTGTCTAGTGCTCTACGCCTAACTTCATATTACTCACTCTGTTGTCCCAACATATGCGAACAATGCTTTGAAGATACATATTGTTAGAAACTTACAACCTATGCATACCTTCTACTCTGATAGGCTAATGGTTTGTTATGGAATGGGTAATCAAATTGTAAAAAGAATATATTCTAGCTCTTGGCCACTAGTCTAACCATTCCGTTATATCATTAAGTGTCGAATCCGACTAAACGCTGTTCTGATCGCTCCGTATGTTTTTTAAATTAATTATACGGTAAACGTATTACATAACACATTGAATAACTGCCTAAATAATCTTTCAGTTTACTGTCATTCACTTTCCTTAGGCATTAATTTCTCCCTCAACAATTACATTTACTTGAAGTGACAATATTTCTTGAAAAATGTTTTCTTTACAGTTCACGACAATTAGCATCATCTGGTGTTTGTCTGAATAAATCAAAAACAGATCTTGGGAAAGATGATGGACTATTTACTGGTGGATGTAATATGTTTGTTCAACTATATCCTCAAACTTCACACTATCCATCTACTGCTAGTGGAGGTGAAGGTGGTAAGACTTGGAATCCTCTCTTAAAACTTAAACGATTCTATCTGAAAATGACTGACCCAAGATATAATAAAAAGGTCGATGTTTATATTTACATGTTTCTTTGTGAATTCATCGCTTTTTGGATTATGATATTTGGTTATGTATCATTTGGACCAAGTGTGAGTTTATCTTGTGTCTATAAGTTTTTCTCTCTATATATCACTAGTTATCATTCCTTTTCTTATTTTATTTGAACTTCCGTCTATCAATTAAGAAACGAGTATACTGCGCAGCGGTTCACTCTGTTCTACTTTAAGGATGTGAAATGTGGTCTTTCAGAGTAAAGGATACTTGTAAGTTACTAGTATTTGACCACAGATGCCTTAGAAACATTGCTCGCATCTGCTGGGATCACTAGGTAGGTAGTCGTGAAGTTGGACACAGTGTGTTAGGGAATGATGGTAAATCAGTTGATGAAGTCATGAATCTTCATCGACTGAGATGGTTAAGCCACGTGTTACGTATGCCACCGATTACCACGACGTGCTATGCTGACTAGTATTGGTAATGGTTGGAAGAGAGTTAGTGGCAGCCAAACCAAAATGTGGCATCAGTGCTTGAAGTCACTAACGTCTAGTTTGAGCCATGTTGGTGGATGCAGACTACTTGGTTGGGGTCCGTGTGACTATCGTAAGTATTGGTTAGAGACTCAGAATCGATCACAATGGTGTATACACTCTTTATCTTCCCTTAAGCCGTGAGATTAAAATTGCTTGATGTCTTTCTTCCTCGACTATATCCTTATATACAATTTCTCTCTTATATATTACCATCACTAAATTAACTACTCCTACGAATTTAGTGTTGATCTTGTTGTGCTAATGAGATATGGCAACTTGGACAGATGCATATATGTGCCTGGTCCTACGTTCTAGCTGACTGACTTTATTTAAACATCTAAATTTTAATGTTTGATGTTAACTGTGGAGTCTAGTTTATTTATTTATTTATCTAGTCATATTGTTTGTAGAATAATGAGTGTTCCTTTTTTCTCGGTTTCTCATCATACGGGTTCTCTGCCTTCATCATAAAAATTTTTGATATGTATTCTATAGCATAAAGGTTGTGTACATGTCATTTCTATCATATGTAACACAAATCTGTCACTGAATAAATTCAGTGTTTATACAACTTTAATATCTTCCTAATTTTTAAATGGATCTAAAGCATATGTATATTACGTCAATCATAGTATGAATTTTCATAATTAACTTGATGTTGTTTCTTTATTAGAGATTTTACTGCATACGTATCCAGCTTGAAGTTTTTTTTCGAATAGAAAGTATCATGAAATTAATATTCTGTTGCATATCAAGACTTCAGCCTACAGTTTTCTGCTATAATATCTTCCATTCTATTTAAGTTGGTGTTATGACTTTATAAAAAAATAAAAGGACGTATACTAATTCGTTATTGATTTTATGTCTAGCTTTTATCACGTGAATTATCCACTAATCGAAATACGACTTTTCTAATCTTAGCACTGTGGCAAATCAATGACGTTCGACCAGTATGAGTAGTCTAGCGTCCTTATTGGTCCCTTGTCCGCCTAACCCTTCCAATTGAGTCCAGAACACTATTTGCAGCCTCTGCTATACGAATCTATGTGAATCATTTATTTCAAGTATACTCGGTTTATATATCAGATAGACAGACCTCATCACACCATTAGATAGAAAATAATATTTGTAAAAGATCAAGTTAAATGTTACTGTGAACGTGGGATGCAATAATCAATAAACTGAATATAATTTAGGGATAGTAATTGGTATAATAATAATCGATAGGTCGAAATGAAGCTTATAATAAGATGAATATAGATATTCACAATCTAATTACTCAATAGTTAAGCAATAAGAATATATATAGAATAATAGTCCCGGAAGTTACTCGTACTTTCATTATCACTAGGATATATCTGTTTTATTGAAAAAAAGTATCGCTGCTAGAATTTCATGTAATTTTTAATCTATTATATACCATTTAGCTTTAATTAATTTATTCATTCTTTGTCCTATATTGCACACTTCTTTATCTTTAATGATTTGTCTTTAAAAAAAATTTTTTTAAATTATTTATAGACTGGGATGGGTGATAATGCATTTGAATTCCTAAAATCAAATAGGGTGAGTTTTCATTCAACTTATGTTGCTATTTAAAAAAATTATTCCATTTTCAATATTAATAAGTTATTACTCCTATACAACATGAAAATGGGAAGCATACTTAAGTTGTATTGTGGTCTTTATTATCAGCTTTCAATTACAGTAGACTATGTATCTGCTATCCCTAATCCGGTTATCGATTAGTTCGCCTATATTCCGCGTAAAAACCAGTGACTTATTTACCAAACAACTCATCGACGAGTATACAACAACTAAGATCTTAATACCTACTGGACTTCAAGCTCCTTCTAACCTAGTACCTACTCAGAAAATGAAGAGAGCAAATCAATTCTCTAGTCCACTATACTCAACCATGACTCAAAACTCATACGGTAGTATACTCAAAGGCCCTGACTATACAGTGATGCAAATAAAAAAAACTAAGATGTGTATGTATTTTAATAATAAGTTATAGAAATTCATAGTAATATAGAAATAATTAATCAACAATAAATCTTGCACATTAATAGTTATGGCGTCAATATATACGCCATACGATAGCCTAGAAATAGGCTAATATAAAAATACAACCTTCCATTAATTGAATTATGCAATAAAAATATTAACTTGGAATTTTGGTTTGATGCCTTCACACTACTCTCTAAATTATATCGTACCAAATTATAAGATTTGTGAGTTACACATATGGTTGAGAATATATATTACACAACAACGTAGTTGGGGCATAAGTCCATATGTTTTGTGAAACAAGTCGAAGAAACAGATGATCATCACGACTTTATGCAGGATGGTATTCTTTGCCTAATTATTTCTACTACCACTGATACTCCTATTACTTCGATACTTTGGTATTTCTCTTGACGGTCTCGTTTCTCCGCACTGTCATATCGTGTGGCAATACCATTGACTATGATATCTTTTCATTCTACACTTTTGCGGCTACTACAGTTTTTTGTATGGTATACTATTGAAATATGGAAGTAATTCGGATCTATAGATCAGTTGATTTTCATTACTTTGAACTAAGATTCAGATATTTTCACATGTACACCAAAATATTGCTAATATTTAGACAGATTCATAGGTAGATGTGTTCATTATGTTTAACAGAGTATTTTCATATCATTTCTAGTAGTAATCCACTAAATTGTTTCTTTTTTTAAGATTTATGTACTTTTTTTTGTCTTGACAGGTTCCTCTACCATTTATATCAATGCTTCTTGTACAATTCATCTTCATTATAACTGATCGTGGTTTATTCTTACAGAAACAAGTTCTTGGAAAATTCATTTTTCAAATTATTCACGTTGTACTAATTCATGGATGGTTATTTTTTATTTTACCTCATATTACAAGATCGTAAGTTGTTACTGTGATGATAATAATAATAATAAATATTTGCATATGTGTAGTTTGTAAGGGGTAGATGTGATATTATATACTTATAAATGAACATACCTACAAAGATGCTGGTAAATGTTATTCACAACAGTAACAAAGTTTTCACAAATTAAAACGTCTAATTGTAATCTACATAACAATATTATATAAACAAATGTACAAATAAAAAAAGTTTAACTTTAATGAGTTTGTTTAAAATCTGTGATATTCACTAATTTGGTTATGTATGCCAAATGTTGTTGGTGAAACATTATTTTTAGCCTAATTAGATACTATATTCACTTTGCCACAGTGTTGCTTAATTCATTATGATAAATTAGCATATTTTGCAAACAATTTGTTCAAGTCTTTCTTTTTTATGGAATTTCAACAATTAAGTAACAGAGCAATGGACATTTTGATTGTCAGGTATTCAGTAGGAAGTGAAAAGGAAAATCTTAAGTATTGATTGAAAATATTTATGATCTATGAGTTAGATAAAGGTAACGCAAAACTTGGGATATATGTAGGTACTTCTAGATTTTGACACTATTTAGTCACAGGAAGATGAGATTATAGAAATTAAAACCTTAGTGGTAATATCAGTGATATTTGTTATCCCAGCTGCCTCATTTTCTGAAAATTTCCTGTCTCATCAACCTATATGTCGTCTTTACCTGGTTCTCTACGTCACTTTGTAATCTCAACAGACGTCAATTTTCTAAGGCTTCCATGGTAGAATTCTGGTAGCTTGCGTATATCCTCTATTTCCAAAGGCCCCATCTCAGAAATATAAAGTAGGAAAAAACCAACTACTATGAAGTATACTCGTCCTTTATTCGAGAGATCTTACTTACGGAACGCGTGTCCCAAGTTGACAAAAGCCAACCAAGCTTTCTGAATCCGTATTGAGATTTAGTCATAAACCAGACCACCAGGACTTGAAATGGTCGACGTGCTCAATTAATTAACTTCTTGTCAATTATTTTTGGCGTTGACCCAAGCAATTCTTAAAGCAACAATTTGTGGTCAGATGACACTGTACTTTGTCAGCACTTTCACCAAACAGAATCATATCATCTGCGTATTTCAAGTCAATAAGTTTATCTCTTTGTAAGAAATGGATTCATGAAAGGTAATATAATGAAGGCGTTATCTCTATGACGAGGTTTAATAACAATGAAGAAAGTTGGCAATCCTGACAAACACCTGTATTTTATCAGTTTGAACAAAAGTTTCGTATAAGTCGTGACTGGGAAAAATAATATTCAAATAGAGAGCTTTTGCAAAATTCATATTCTTCTTTAGTATGTCTTTTACTGACAAACATCGTCACTGCGCTCCTTGAAAATTAACGTAATGTGGAGAACTTCTGATAACCAACAAGCATTTAATAACCGTTTCTTATTTTGATACAATAAATTCATATTTTGGCTACATTTCATGATTTAATAATTTTCTCTTAACTTATTTAAATGCATTTTTGAAGTATTTTTAGCCTAGCAACTAGTATTTATGAATACATTCTTAACATTTAATTCCATTTAGCCCATTTACTTCTGGTCTGGCACCTCAGTTGTTATACTTGATTAAATGTGTATATTTTTCTCTATCGGCCTATCAAATTCGTAGTGGTTATCCTCGTCGTATATTAGGAAACTTTTTAACTAAAAACTACAATTACATCAATTTAGTTTTGTTCAAAGGGTAAGTTGATTTTTTGTTTATTTTCATTTATTTCTTGATCATTGAGTAACATCGCTTCCATCTTCTCAGGATTTAATCAAGGTTTCCCATTACAAACTAGGTTGAGTTAGAGAACTAATAAAAACCAGGAAGTACTAAACGGTTATTTTATCCTAATATGAAACTCTTTGACAGCGCACATCCACAACTTCACCAGAGATCGAACCAAGAGGTTTTAGGTCTCACTGTCAATGCTTGACCTTAAAATTATTAAGTTAGTATCCAGTTGTTTATAGTTCCAATGAAAATCAGTAATCGAATATAGGTTGGAGGCTATTGAAACTACTCGGGTGCCTAAACCAAAGTAAGCATAGCGAGGTTCTAACATATGAATCAATAAATCAATTTTAATTTCGTCAATCCTCAAACTATATATCTACTTGTGACTTTTATACGTCTACTTATTTCATCAGACCATATCAGGTGTAATATTAAACAGTGTAAATAAGGAAGTAGTTACTATATAACCTAAGTATTCAATGATATAAGACTCTTGAATCCTTTTGTTTCATCAGTAACTTTCTCATCCATATACTGACCTCGATTTTACTGAAGATATTGTTCAATTTACTCATCTATTTTGTGTTATGAAGGCCATTTATCATATTTACTTTCTTTTTTCCCAGGTACCTACTGGTTCCATTTTTGTATGAACTGCGAAATGTAATGGATTGGATGTGGACTAGTAGTGCTTTATCTTTATATCATTGGATGGAATTAGAAGACGTTTATTCTAAGATATTCATTCTTAAATGTTGGCGACGTTCAGAATTAGCTTATCCTACACCAAGAGGACGGAATCGTGATACCAGTAAAAAAGCATTGACTGGTGGTTTATTATTATTATTCTTTTTCATTTGTTTCTGGGGTCCAATGGCATTGACTTCATTCATTGGTGCTACATTCGATGTGAATCCGCCAGTATTGTGTACTTTCAGCTTTTCATTTGGGGGCTTTCCGGTATGTTGTTATTGTTTCATTTCTGTTAGAAGTTTGTTTATATGTGATAAAACCTACAATGCAGTAAATCAGAATCTACACTTAGCCTTGTTCTTACCATGGAATATTGGGTTCGTTTAGGCGACTAAAGATTTGGATAGAGAGATAATTGAAAGAGAGGGAGTAACATTATGCATATATAAGCTTAGTTTCATGAGGACACTAATGAAGTAACAATGGTGACAATCAACTTTATTTAGCGTCTTCATAAAAAATTTCCGGAAGAGGTGTGAAATTACTAACTTTATATGAATGATATCAGCTAATTAAGATAAATGTTTCTTTTCTTCCTAATTATTAAAACGTTGAAGTCATCTAAGAGAAATTAGATGAAATTATTATTAAAACTATAAAGCGTGATAAAAGCCAAAATAAAATAGATCAAACTCATTTGCGTAGGATATTTCCCAACATGAAATCATCTGAAATGATGTCTTGGGTTCAATCCGTCCTGGGATTATAAGTGCTTAGTATAAAGGGTCCCATACTAGAACGAAACAGTTGTTTAATTTTTTCTGTCTCTCAATTGTACCTCAACTTCAGTCAATGCGAAATTGACGCAACTAAAAAATTAGTCCATTTTCCTCGAAACCTATACAGAGTTGAGGTTTCGTTTCATAAATGAACTTGTTACACATCACGATTTTCCATTCAGCGCATCAGATTATTTGTCACTGAACATTCAAGAATTCTTTCCAAAATAAATTAATTTTTAACAAAAAAAGGTTTTTATTATAAAACATTTCTCTGTTTTACTTTTGTTAAATTTCTTACATGTATATCTCAATAATTGGTAGTGTAAATATTGATTAATATTTTTGTAAATTTTTGATTATCGTAGTTTCATGTTATGATATTTTAGTTGACCTACATGCCAGTCTTTATTGTAACATTTAATATATTCTGTTATATATTACTTATTCCAACAGTTTCTCTTTCTGTGTCTCATAGTGAAATGACTTAATCATCAACTGTGTGGTTTACTACTTGATTACTATCTATCCTTTTAACTTGGTCAAGTATTTATCAACTATTTATAGAGTTTCTTAACAAACTGCTATATGGTCAATCAACTTAATAACGCATGCATAAACTAGTGGGCGAAAATTAACATGAAGTATAATAACGTTTAATGTTGTGTATGTGATTTGATACTATTTAGTCATATCGAATTTCCATCATAACCTATTCTCATTCTGTATATTAAGCAATAACTATCAAAGTAAATGATTATAAATACTTTACATGTAAACTGCTTCTCACCACACAGGCTTTCACAGTCTCGTCGACTAATGTATTTTCCGTTCTTTGTAATCGGATTTCATGGTTTCACCATATCCTAGTAATTATAGTAAGATTGCTCGTAACAATATCAGAACATTTCACTTTAGTTTTAAGTTTTCACCATCTTCAAAGTGAATAATTCTTATTTGTTTCAGATGTCTAAATTAAGACATGTATTTAATTTAAAAAGCCGCTAAACCTTTAACGTGAATTCCTACAATAGGGACGTTCATATTTGTTATTCATTCAGAAATTTGAGTTTTTAAGCAATCTATTTTTACAAGCTTTCACACAAAGCTATCTCACCAGTTCTCCGACAATCTTACCTGTATGCGTAATAAATCTTAAGTCAATGTGTATCCTATAATCTCATTTTTTTATGTTTAAGAATTCATTAGTTGAAGTTTATTCACAGTAGTCTAAACTAGAAAGAACATTTAAGGGATTATTATTTATTGTTTCAATTCACTTTTTCTTATCTGATCAAAATTTATTTACTTTATTCTTCTTTGATTCAACAGCCTACATTCGAGTTTACTTCACGCGAAGGGAATATATTCACTGTAAATTCATCTGAATTAAACAATTTTATTCGTTGTCACGAAAAAGATAAGGTAAAAGATTTTGTTTGATGTAAAAAAGATAGTTTAAGATCAATCTTATCAAGTTCATTGAAATGACCTAATCACTTAACTAGTAACCTTACCATATTCATTGATTAAATAAATTTGGTCAGTAATTTGTTTATGTGTGATTGATAACTTATCATTCAAGTACTCATTTAGTCTACACGTGCTTCGTATAAATTTAGTTCTCATCAATTTCCTTGTCTTAATGATTGAACATATAAATACACTGTTTAAGCTTCGGATATAACCTATTTAATGTTATGTTGTGGTGAGTTATTAGAGGGAAGTAAAATATAGTATGATGAGATTTAGGAATTCAGAATCTAGGACAACGCGTTAGTACACCTGCTCCATTGCGAACAATTATGAGCCGTGTCACCCAAATTCTCTCTTTTTAACCATTGGTTATGATAGTCGCCTAGACCGACGACAGTTGTTATAAATGACTGTTTCCAGTTCCTAGTAATAATTTATAGACTTCCTATTCTAAAACATTTGAGTTTACCATATTTATATATCCATACACACTCATTTTTCAAACACATTGATTTGTATCTGTTGATCTTTAGGGAAACGACGAACTAAATTGAATTTAATCCTTAATCAATTGGTTTATCTCAATGTTTCATCACGAATCTTGTTTTGTTGCTTTATCGTATTTGTTATGAATTGTTGTATTTTTTTGTGTACCAAAATCCCTGTCGCCAAATTGTTACGACTTGACCTAGCCGTAGCCAATTATTATGTCTTGATCAAGGTCGTTGCTAATTTGTTATGACCCTATGAAACAAGGGCGTAACTTGCGTGAATTATCCGCCAATAGAATACAACTTCTACAACCTTCACACTGTGACAATGACGTTCGATTAGTATGAGTAATCTAGCGTCCTTATTGGTCCTTAATCCCCCTAGCCCGTCCACTTGGGTCCAGAATACCAATGGCAGCCCCGGCAATATGAATCGTTTATTTCAAGCATACTCTGTTTATCTACCCGACAGGCAGACCACACCACATCATAAAATAGAAAATAATATTTGTACAAAACCAAGCCAAATGAGGCTGTAAGCGTGGGAGACAATCATCAATAAAGTGAGCATAACATAGGAACAGTAAATCATATAATAATAATCAATAGGTCAAAATGAAGCTTATAATAAGATGAATATAGAGATAGATAATCTAGTTACTGAATAGTTATACAATAGGAATATACACAGAATAATCGTCCATTGATAGTTCCTAGAAGTTACCCGTACTTATGTCTTTGCCACAATATAACAGTATTGGTATTATTATCATATTGTACATTATTTACAAATTAGATTAGGACCTTAGTAGATCCAAAGGACTTGGCTTTCAGCTAGTAGATTTTACCTTCAAAATCCATATCACAAAAATCCGTGCTTGTTTAACTGCATACTATCACTAATCATGTCGTAGAAATTGTACATCTGAAAATCGGATATACAAACCCATTCTTCCTTGCTAGACGTCGTCGGTATCTATTAAATGTTTGTGTTATGATGAAATATTAGAATGTTCCTTACTTCTCGATATTTTTTCTAGCAAACATTTGGGTTTCTACATAATTTCGAATGGAATGATCTACGCTATGTGACAATCGATGGTTTTTCTGGTAATATCTGGGCTATCACACCACCGTCATATCAAGCATTATTAATGAAATTACGTTCTCCTGAATCAGATTTACTTCTACATTTTCATATGAAATGTCGCAGGTACTATTACTTTTGCTATTTTTTCTATTGTCTGGTTGTTTTTTTTATGTATGTATAGTCTCACAGGAGACCGGTAGCTACTTCTCAGACTGTATCACTGGGTGATGCAGGCTCGAATCACACAAGGAGCATCAATTTTGACAAGACTACATGTACGGCTTGGTGACAAATCAGCTGGAAACGTAGGTATAGACCCTCTTATCGATTATTTCCAATCACATAACAGATAGAAACTCGATACAATTCGGGTACACCAAATGATACGGTACATGCTTGAGTGTTTATTCTCCTGATCTATGTGATAATCAGTTAGTTATAAGGCTTGTGGGTCCCAACATAAAGTTGTTACTTGCTTCACAGCAACACAACACGAAGAACAAGAATAAAGTTGAAGTCAAGAAGTGGCAATACATATATTAATGGTAAGGAAAACCAAATATAGAAGTTATACTTCAAAAGTAACAAATAAATTGATAAATTTAAATAATAATGTGGTCAAAAAGAATTGTATAAACATAAGAGAAATTATGTCTTCCAATTGTACAAGTGATTTCATATTGTACCATCTTTATGTTTTTCATTGTAACTTATGATATTCTCGTGTATCAGAAGGGGTTTTGTGGAGATTTCAGTATTTTCGTAGTTGAAATCATGACTCAAGTGAAGCTAGACCACCATGGAAAACCTGAAAGCACTGACTGGCCGTTTCGTTTCATTATGGGTCTCCTCATCGGTACGCATCCACGATCCCGCCTCGCGAGTTTCGAACCTAGAACCTACTAGTCCCATAATAGGACGAAACGGCCGTCCAGTGCTTTCAGGTTTTCCATGGTGGTCTAGCTTTAATCGATTCTCGTGTATATCAATTGAAATGTGCGAATTACGCAATATAACTCATTTCAATACGTGAAATTTTCATAGATATAAATTTCACTGTCTTTATTTAATAATTATTTTTTAAAATTGATTGTTGATTTACTTATTTATTTACTTTTGACATTACTATTATTATTGTTTGTAGATCAACAAAAGAAATTCAATCCAGTCATACATCAGTTGAAGATATATTTAGTCGTAAACTATCACCATCAGAAAAATTACAATTACTTATGGTTTTAAATTCTACAAATTTCACCTTTCCTTTATCTGATTCTAATAGAAATTCTTTATATAGAACATCTATAATGAATAATAATAGTATGTTAGCAAGATCATATCAATCTCGAATTGATTCGGTTATATTGAATTCTGTATTGCCAAGATATGTTTTACTTAAAAAAGATAAACTTCGTGGTGCTTATGCTTTTCTTGGTGATCCACAAACTTATGTAAATGTTAGTTTTCATATACATCAAGATTTAATAAGTCATCAAACATGGTGGGAATTAAAAGAGAAAATTAATAGTAGTCCATCATCTGATCCATGTTTTGAAGTGATTCGACATCCAACATTAAGTAATAATGCTGTTGAGGCGAATGTATTGTCAGTTCTCACTTTCAATGAACGTGTATCCGATAGCTTATTTGGTAAAGTATTCAATAACTACGGGTAATTTAAATCAATGTGTTTGTTAATAAAATTACCATGTATATTGATTTTTTTAAGTGTTCACTATTTTTTGTAGTTTAATGTATATTAACACATTGGAATTATTAGATATAATATTACTACTTTTGTTTCATATTTAATTTTTGGAGTTGTTGTTTTCTGTGAACTGGGTGCTTTTATAGTGAAGCTTCAGACAACATCATAAGCACATACTCCAAAGAGAAGCTATCAATCTAAACGAGAAATCAAAATTTCTTGAAGATAGCCTTTCTGACGAATATTAGCTGGTGCGAAACGTATGTTCATTACTTCCTGTCTAATAAATCCAGCCAAATATCATGTACTTTGAAATGTCCAGTTGGTTTATTTACTTATGTAGCTTCAGCTACTTAGTTGTGAATTCAAACCTTACTCTACCTACTCCATCTTGAACTACTAGGCTATTATCACTGAAACTCGCGTTTAAAATGTTTCTGGAAGCCAAAGTTTCTTATTTGCATTTAGTTAATGAGTTAAAAATGATAAAAGATTTGTTCATTAACTTCCTTCTATCCGTCTTCAACAGCAGTCAGCATTGCGCGTCGTGGCAATCTGTGATTGGGCATGAGTAATACCTGACCCAACCATCTCAATCGATGTAGATTCAGAACCTCATCAACTGATTTACCACCATTACCTAATATCATGAATTTAACCTCACTACTACTTAACGGTGATCCCGGCAGATGCGAGCAATATTTCTAAGAAATCTGTTATGGAATACTAGTAACTTACGAGTATCTTCTACTCTTAATGGCTACGTTTCGCAGCCATAAAGTAGAACAGAACGCACTCCTGCGCAGTATACTCATTCCTTAAATGATAGACAGATATTTCGCCTTCTCCACAGATCACGTAAGTTGGTAAAAGCCAATCGATCTTTTTGAATCCGTGTAGAGATTTCGCCGGACACCAACCCATTAAAGCTGACAGGACGTCCAGGATAAGTGAAGTTGTTGGCGCGTTCATTGTGTGTAACCTTGACAACCTCAATACTGCATTTTCACCCTTTAACATGTGGGAGGTTTTTTCATCAAAGGATCGGCCGAAAATGTTCAGTAGCTTTGCTCAAACAAGTGTTAATTGAGTTCAGTTCACGGTAAATTAAAATTAAAATAAGGTAACTTCCAGTAAGACCTCTCACTATTCGCCATTTTCACTGAATTTCATTAGGAATCATGTATGTGCCAGGTCGTCTGTTTATTTTGCTTGGTTTGGTCTTTTTTAAAATACCGTCTACGATGCTTGTTCTGAGTTTTTGTGTTCAAATGTATTCATTCTAATAATGTTTCTTTTTTTCTCATTTATCTTTTTCATATTTTACAGTATCATCGGTATGTACGCTGCATACATCTTTTTAGCTAGTCGGCTGCTACGTACTGCGTACAGTAATATTTCTTATGTGATTCGTCTTGAAGAATTACCTCATGTGGATCGTATTTTGAATTTATGCCATGAAATTTATCTTGTACGTGAAAATAACTTACTATTATTAGAGGAACAGTTAGTGGCAAAACTTTTCTTCCTTTATCGTTCATCAGAGACTATGATTAAATGGACTAGACATCCAAAACATATCGTTGAACGGTTTACAAGTAAACCGACTTCTACTACTACATTATCTCAAGAACCTCCCAATTCTGCACCACCTACCTCTCATCCTCCTTCGTCTAGTGGAATTATGCATCCTTCAATAAATCAAGAATTTAGAAATATCAATAATCGAACGAATAGCAAACCACCTGTTCAATTCAGGCGTGTTCGTAATTCAGTCGATGACGGTAATCATCGTTTACCACCAACAACAACAACCACACTGTTACCATCATCTTCACAATATCAATAATAATATCAAAACAATCATTTAAAATCCCCAAATATTTACCCTCTTAACACTCCGTTAAGAATACAATGGCCCTGTACAAATAGCTTAATTGTTAAAATAATCTGAAATAAGACTTATTAAATCAATTCGATCCATGATTAATACAGAGTGAATTTTCTTTTCTTTCACTGATTAATTCATTTTGGAATGATTAGTTATTGTAAATGTATAGTCTAGTCGTAATTAACAGTTTTGATTGCTCACTTGTTTTTCTTTTTCTCTATTCAAACGGTTTCTACAATTTTTAATGTATTAATATTGTTATCTAATGTGAGTAATTCTCATTTTTATATTGATTACTGTTTAATGACTGGCTGTTGATTAGTTGCTATTTGTTTTTGTAGTACATCGATTATCGTTAGTTGTATTTCTATTTTCTTTATAGTTTCTACGTACATTTTCCTCACTTTGTCTCCGTGTGTGTATACAAACTGTTCTATCAATTATCTCCAATCTATCCACATATCTTTGTCATTGTTATAATACTTATTTCAATCTACTTTTTGTTTTCTTCTGCTTCGTTATCTATGATTACCTTCGTCTTTTTCTCTCACATATTACACAATCAATCTTCTTTAGAGAGGTTCATATATTGATGATTAATTGTTAAAAGAAAAAACAACCAGTAAATTCTTTCAAATGTTTCATAGTCGAATTATTGTTTATTATCCGCACCAAACTGAATGCACTATGTTTCATTCCTGCATTGATTTCTATATGTATATTTTTGATTACTATGAAATGATGAATAAGTTGAAAGTATATATATACTCTCACTTTAATATACAATTAATAGATTGATTCAATTACTGATAATATATATATATATATATATATATATATATATATATATATATCCATATCCATCTGTATTATACAGAGCATACTGCCTAGATTTTTTGTTCAATAGATTGATTGGTTTATTTTTCTCCTTCACTTTTTATCTCTTCTAATTTCTCTTGTTCTTACTCTTGTTCCTAACATAAATTTTGTATTCATTTTTGTAATTCATGTAATTCAAATGGTTTTCTTGTTTGTTTATGTTAAAATATGGATATGCTCATATTGAATAAGTAGTATATATGTAAATGAATGTAATATTTTGACTTATTAAAAAAAAGTTGGAAAGAGTGAAACAATCTTCAGATTAAGTAATGGTAATAATAGTAATACTGAGTTAAATAGACATGAATATGTAATTTGTGTTTCTATGAACAATGTATATAAATTTGTTTATTATAATTTGGTAGAGATATTGACAATATAAAGTTATTTTAATGGAATATTAATGAGTGCAGATAAATGATAATATAAGGCATCTGTTGTCTGAAAATTGTTTTCTTTTTCTCTTCAAGAATAGGCTGTTCACACTAATTGTATTTCTGTCATATCTTGTGGTTGTATTTCGGTACGAGTCTGTGATAATTGCTAATAATGGAACAATTAAACTTATTCTTATATGAACAAATTTTATGGTGAACGCGATAGAACGCTTTATCGTTGATAAAGCACACGCTAATATCAAGTAGAAATGGCGAGATATCCAGGAAGGTTTAGTAATCTGAATGAAATTAGAATGGGAGAATTGTCTCTTTATACTAGCACTCGTCGAACTTGGAACAACAAAGTTAGCAAACTAAAAATGATAACATCCAATCAAATATTAGCTAAAGTCATTGAGGAAATATTAGCTAGAAAGATGTCATGAAGGTTATCCTTCAAAACAGGGACCGACAAAAACAAGATAACTTGTTCTTTCCTTAGCAATTAAGTTTCTTGACTAAATAAACTATAAAGGTTTTTATAATTGATTTTAGTGATTCCGTCCTCCGCAACATGAAATTCTATTCGAATATGTAGAACTCATTGAGAACAACTTAGTATATAAAATGTCCTGAAAATCCTCAATCATGTCATTTCTCAGCATACATATTATTACAGCCATGACATGTCTTAAATTCCAAACAGAAAACTAGGGAAAATGTATGGAAGAAACTTGGATTGGAAGGTTATATGATTCACAAAAATGGAAAGTTTTAGTGTATTGTGTGATATCGAGACCCTAGAATGTTATGAGAAACATTTCAAAACTGGTTACAACTTTGAAAACGCTCCAGTGAGAACGAGAAAATAATAATCTATTGTTTCCTGGATTTCTCTGAATTTTTAATTAATACTGATTAATTAGTATCTTCAGTACTTTATCTGGCTGTCAGAGACTTCTGAGGAGTCATCGACAACTCCCAACAAAGTTGATAGTGATAATTAAGCTTTAAAAATTGAGGACGTCTTTTATTTAAGAGCATTCCGCTTCTTATAGACATCAATTTAGTAATAATTTTATGGATAGTGTATTGTTATAACTCAATTATAACACTTCCATATTTATGATTATCTGGACATAATCTGTTACATTGACCATATTCTTAAGTTTACATGTATGAGTTTTTAAACCCAGTATGCTCTTGACCTGAACGTTTCAACATTTTTGATCAGACACGTTCAATAATCATCAGGTTTGGGCTGCACGAAAGTCTATCTCAAACATGACACACCATAGTTCATGTTACTATGCTTAAGTCGATTTTGATAATCACTCAGAAGTAATTTTCATGGTAGGTAAAAAGTGATTTTACATCCTTTGCATTTTTTTCTGAGTATCTTTATAATTTAGACAAATAATGTGTTAAAATAATTTATTCAACCTGATAAATATTATTAAAAGCTTTAACCAATCAGTGTTGTAACTTATAAGCAAAGATGGATAGCGGCTAGCAGTGGAATCGAGGACGCGCGTTTCATCCTATTTAGGACTCGTCAGCTGGATGTACCTGCATCTCAGAGTTGATGTTCACTCTGTGATGGACTCAAACGCAGTACCGTTCGCTTCAAACGCCATCGCGTTACCCACTCAGCTACTGAGTCCTGATAGCCACTTACTTGTGCAATGAGGTGAAGTTTAAATTCACTTAGCATTGTTTGTTTGAATCTATCTTTCCATTGATGTTCAGGACTTCAACTGGTCAGTCTCTAATTGGCATATATGCATCGGAAGATAGATTCAAACAAACTATACCAAGTGAATGTTCTAACTTATTTTCATTTAGATTTAACTAGGCAATCTAATCAGTTATCATTTTGATCTTGAATTAAACATTGATTAGGATTAACGAGTAATTATTAAGTTTTCAAATAATATCACTTTGATCTGAATAATAATTATTTGTAAAGTTTTAATTGATCTATTTGTTTTTATCGTTTTGTTGTTGTTTTTTTCTAAATCATAGTCTGTCTGAAATTCCAAAAAATCCTTTGATCTTAAAATGAATTAAGATCATATGAAATAGATAATCAATATCATTAATTTATTAGGTTCAATGTATAATGTTTGTCAGAAAATCACTTTTTTATAAAGATTTTCAATTGTATTTTAATTTATTTTAGGTTTCTAAGATATGTACAGATTAAAATTCATTCTAGTGCACAAGCCAATGGCTATCTGAACTCAGTATTTAAGTGGATAATGCGATGACGTATGAAGCGAACGGTACTACGTTCGAGTTATGAGATGGGAATCAACTCCATAATAAAGGTACATTCAGCCGACGAATCTAGAATAAGACGAGACTCACATCTTGGATTTGGATATTGGCCACCATTCATTTCAGACTCAAAACCATATGAGATCATTTTTATAGTTCCTACTTTGATTCAATCAATCTAGTAGTAATATCAGCCTTCACACTATAATGACCCTCAATTCTAGAAACTTTGTTTATATTGAAAGTGTTTTCGAAAAGTTGGGATAAAAGGTTCGGTACTACTTGTCAATCTCTCAGTTCGAGGGATGTTTCGGTTGATAAAAGTCGACAGTTTAGGCGGCTTATACTTAACAATTTTTCTTGGTTTGGGATGATTTCTAGATTGTGTTTAGTAAATTTGAACGCGTAGGATAAACATAGTCTTGTAGCTTTGTAGACTACACACAATCACTATATGCATTTGTAGAGTCATAGTAGTCGGGCCATAAGAAAGAAATCTAAGTTTGTCGTAGTAAAATGTACATCGAGTGCGAAGCTAAAGATTCAGGGAAGATGAATTTTTCATGAACCGTTAAAACTCTAAACCATAGATTGCCAGTCGTGTGTTCTCGGATCTCAACGGGTGTTTCATTATGTTTTCGAATGATTTACAATCATTCATATGATAGTTCATGGATGGTTTGTGGTTCATGAACTATGAGATTGTTTTCGTTATCTTTTGATGATATAATAGAACATGTAAAGCCTCACAATGGCAATCAAATAACTTGTACTGAAGTTAGAGCTATGTAGAAGTGGGTAGCCGACAGTCATTACATACTATTATATTTTCAGGTCACAACACACTGTATTTAATGTGCTCTGACAAAACAAGGAACTAAGAGAACATTATAATTATAGTGGCAGCGTCACACAAATTTGCTGTTTCAGTTATAACCAGATAAAGCTGTTTGATAAATACGCCAGTGTAATTCTTTGCACTTTCAATGTATTTTACTCATTTTACAAAACTGTTAACTACAACTTCCTACTCTAACTTTGTTCGTGGTCAAGAGATCACACATTTGAAGCGCAACTTTATCGGTTAGTCAAGCCTGAAACAAATGGAGGTGTGTCGGATAATATATTCATAATTGAGAGTGAGTGATTTATATTCTTCAGTTGTCAGCAAGGTTTCAGCTGTTTAACCACAAATATATTCAAAATGATAACACAGGATTTACAAAATTCCTTGATAATTATTCTTAACACCCTCCACAAATCAGCAAAATCTTTTCTTCAAAACTCCACGACAAAAGAATGGGGTAATATACCCGAATTTACAGATTAAATCAATTAAATTACAGAGTAAATGTCAACTAATGCCAAAACATGTAGCCTCTAGCAAAAATAGATTATAAGAAAATCTTTCCTTTATATTAAAACATGAGAAGAGTAAGAGAGGTCAGAAGAAAAGCATGATAAATGACCTTTGATATTGTTTTTATTACGGAATCATCATTAGACCAAGCTTCATATGATTCCAACAAGATGGTTGAATAAATTGCGTGGCTCAGATTAAAGTTAAAAATTTTGATATCAAAAAAAGACTAAGTGCAAGTCTATTAAAAATAGACTACTGTTTAATGGACTGCAAAAACCCATTCACTTCAAAGAAATTTGAAGTTGAAGAAACTAATGTGCATACAGCAGGATGATCCGCATACTTAACAAAATTGTTTTTCATGGCAGAAGTCAGGTCATTCAGAAAAAAAACCCAGAAGATAGGGTAGCTATCGTTATTAATCTGCTTCTTAAATCAAAGCTATTTAAATAGTTACAACACATTCAAAGAGTCCTTAAAAGATATCTTTTGAGCAAACGTTCGATTTCATGGCTTGTTAGACGATTTAGCCTCAAAAATTAGGAAGTTTTTTCCCTTACACAGCCTTTAGCTTTCCCTCCTAAGTGAATATAAAACAGAAACTTATTGAGGCACTTTATAAACTGCGCTGGTAGTCTTGTGATATAATACCTCAAGAGGTACTTAGTTGAGCGATTATTATTTTGATCAATGGATTAAACGTTAGATAATTAAGATTATTTTATTAGGAGAACTCTGAATACGAAACATTCTATTGTGTCCGGCGAAATAATTCTTTTCCATGATAACATTTACTCTCGAAGGTACGATTTTTTTCTAAAAGTGTCCGACTAAATAAAATCTGCAAGTCAACTTTGTTCAGTCTATTGTCATTTTCCAAAATATAGAAAGTGATTTTTGTTAATTATAGGCAACCAAAATAACTAATATAAATGAATTGTTGTTTTTTAAACTACTAGTTAGTAGTCTCATACATATATAAAAATTTTGGCAACGACTGCAGCCAAGTTTCATTTTCTCCAAATGTCTACTAAATTATTCCGAATGGCATCCATTTGGTTCAGCACTAAACCTATCATTCAATATCAGGTTAAAACAATTGTTAAACACGAAACATGACGTAAAAGGTAAAATTCATATTAAACTGTTTATCGTGTGCTTGGTAAGGCATATTTGTATCTTCAGATAAACTATTATTTCCTTCGGAAAAATGTCACATCATGTTTTGCTGCAGTCATAGGAATTACCAAAAAGGTATTGGTTTCACAAAAAAACCCATTAAGGACGTATTAAGTATACTAGCTTGTTAGTGGTATGTAACTGGTTTCCGTTGTAATGGAATTTACTTGTTACCGTATCAGCCGGGTCATTCGGTACAAACTGGTTATGTAATTAGTTTCTGTGATGATTTAAGGTGATCAATAATTGTTTTGAGATTATTTGATCTTGAAACCAGTACTAATTCGCCTTGTATTAGTTTTATTGATTTTCCCACTTATGTTTAGGACTCCAGTTGATCAATCTCTTATTAGCATATGTGCATCTTGTAGAGATCACCTTAATATTGCCTTAAGTCACAAGCATTATAAGTAGAGATGGATGAAGACCAGCAGTGAAAACCATGACTCACATTTCGCTCTATTTGGGACCCGTCAGATGAATTTACCTGCATCCTAGATGAATTAAACTTCACACCATTGCGCAAACTAGTGGCTATCTGGAATCAGTATCTAAGTAAATAACGCGATAGTGTTTGAAGTGAACGGTGTTGGATTCCATTTTCGAAGTGCACATTAACTCCGGGATGCAGATTCATCCAGCTAACCAGTCCCAAATAGGACGAAACGTTTACCCTGGAT